CCTATCAACTCAAACTGATGGCCTGACATAAATACTTATGCTGTTGAAACAAACATAAGCTATGACTGCCATAAATTAGTGGCATTGATGTTTGGAAAAAGGTTGATTAATCGCGAGGAACAATTAAAAATGTTCCTCCTATTGTTCTATAATATGATGACAGATAGCATGATGACATAGCATTTATGTGACGTGTGTTTATTCGTCATATAAGCAACATAAACTGTGCGAAAAACAAGACAATTGTATGTGTCACTCGCCGATGCACGTCCTATTTTCAAAGTGACAAAGCCTCGCTGTCCGGTGATTTTTACATACGTTATTTCAGCGCGTTGGTCATAAGCAATTGTGCATTTTGACACCACTAAAGGAGAAATAACCACAAGGAAGACTACTTATATCCACGGCTTATTTTATTCCCGCCTCTGTTTCACCTGACGGGGTCTGCAGATCATCAAGAAAACTTAAAAATTTTAAGTGGAACGCAAGACAAACTTTTTTCTTGTGAGCCTTCGTACTCATGCAATATATATATATATATATATATATATATATATATATATATATATATATATATGTATGTATCCAAGGAAAAGTCTATGGAAGAATGAGGTGAAAACATTCATGTATACTACAAACACTACCGTAGTTCTACTTCAAAGGAAGAGAAATAAGCTGGCCTTCACAAGATATCAACCCTCATAATTTTGTTACCTATACACGATGTGCGCATGTTTAGCCGTCACTTGAGAATCGTAACAGTTGTCATAGTAACAGCAAAAATGGTAACAGCGCAGAAAAGCCCCTTCTGTCTTAGCGTCTTTCTGGCATTATGTATACGTCACATAAAACGACATATTAAAATCTCGCTTGCTTGTGACTATAATGTAATACGTTCATAGTCCCTGTTCACACTGTGAATCTCTCAAAAACACAGACACATAACAAAACGCTTTACTATAACAACGCACATTATAGTATGGATATTATAGCGATGGTAGTGAAAAATAATCACATAAAAGTGACAAAAGTATACATCGTCTGCGTTTGGTGGCAAGCCAATGCGAGCTGCCTGATACGAGAGCGTGCTTGTTTTGTAGAGATAATGGTACTTCGGGAGCGAAGTAGGCGATGAAAGCGCGACGACATGACGTTATGATGGCGAACGGTGATAAGGTTTTTCTCGCGATTTATTCGCCTGGGCCGAAAAAGCTTTTTCCGAAAAGTATTTTTCATATGAGGCTTCTTAGAAGACGGGAAGCATTGGATGCACAAGACAGAGTAACATACTTAGCAGCACGTTATATGCATATAGAATAAAAATATTAAAAGAATTATTATTAATATTCGATGTAAACAGCATTATGATATATAAGGTAAAATATAGTCACTACGTACCTGTCAGTGTTCGCACGCTATATGTATTTTGTACGTTAAACTATATGTATTTTTTATTTTTTATATCATTTATCTGATGATTATACGGTATCTTACGGGCATCTAGTTAACATCGAATATATATTTATAACGACACACGTGCCATGTTTTTCCTGTAGCACAAATTGTCTGTTGCAACGCGAGAAGACCATACGGCGCAAAAACACAGCTGTGTTGGCTTGCAGAACGCAATACCTGAGCTTCCAAAAAGATGATCGACCACTTGGGAACGCATCCACATACTGTTCTGCTAGCAGTCAACAAACTTGAGTTCATGATGGAAATTGTACGTCACATTTTGGTGTAATTGATAATGTATAAATCTTCAGCCTATTTTCATGACAGACCCGTCACTTACAGAATGCCTTTAGGGTAGCGCTGTCTTCCCTTTTTTCTTACAGAGACTGCTCGCAAAATGGTCGAAGCTCAACTGTCAATAATAATCCTTGTCTAATTAAACAAGGTTAGGCATTGAAACCAGTAGCTGGTTTCTTCCAACTATTTGTAGGTAAGACATTAGCTCTTCTCCCAATAATACTGCATTTCGAAATAGCTGTATTTGAAAATGGAACGTATTCTGTCATGTACGAACGTGGAATACCTAGAACCTGTAACACTATGCAAACCATTACAGATGTGGGTGTGCGTACATTTATATGTTTACGTGTGGAGACAAGCGAGGAGCACATATTAATGGACACAAGACCATTTGTCAGTACGGATAGTTCATATGAGCCGTATCCGTCCGAATGGGGTGGTAACGTGTGTGCCTACTGCACCCAGAAACATGCAAGTAATCTTAAGTTGGAAACCGAGGTTGAATGTGCTGCGAGCCATCTTTTTGAAGCAACGCTAAGGGGTTTTACGGATTAAAACCCGAAACGATTATAACATCTCCCAAAACAAATCGATGCCGATTTAGCTGGTATTATTGCTATATATGGATTTGCTTAAATATTTATTATAGTAGCCATAACTCTTCACACAACATTAACGATATCAGAACCTATTACTACAGCCGTTGAAAAAGTGTAATCTGCATTTGGGCTACGTGTGTCGTTTATTAATGTGATTTGTATTGATTAGCAAATTAAAAGCCTACTTATTGTAACTGCTTTCTTCCGATGCCTCAAAATATTAAACTCACGGCTGCCTTCAAAAAAGAACTTCCAAGTTGAGACAATATCTCGTTGCTATTGTAATGTATTTGTTTTTGGTCACAACTGACAGGCCAAAGAACTGACTGAAATGTTGGCCAACCTGAATGCATTATTGTTCCTCCGTGGACACAGTAACTGTCACCTAATATCGGTAAGGTACCCACTTTTAAAATTTATGAACGATTATTTTGTCTATGAACACTTTTTGGGTTTTGGAGCGTTATGTTATTATCATCATTAATTATTCTACGACACACTAGTTATGAAAAGAGGAAAATAAGCACACTGTTTATGTAAAGCGGATATGTGGCGAAAATACGAGTTGAGCACGGAGTTTTAATAGTAAAGTGAGATTTATAAAATAATTGTATGAATATATTACGCAATAATAATACAATATAGCATTTTTCAAGTGATATATTTTTTATTCTAATGTACATTCTATGCTCAGGAACCACAGCTAGGTGCAGTAATCGTCGACAAGCATTTAAATGTACGCATCAAACCTACATAGGCTTACTCTAATGAATTGATAGCTTTAATTACAATCGTTAGTACAATATTGAAGGTTGCTAGAGATATTAAGGAGGCGGATCATTCATTAAGTATGAGATAGATCATTACAGGTATTTAAATTCATTTTATTTAGAAATAGTTTCATGGTTGAGTCCAGCGGGTAATTGATAATCTGGCCATGCTTTTGTAACTGATATTTGTGATGAGAGATATGACATTGTAAGTTAGGATTAGCAGGTCTTCAGGTCTTATGAATCTGAGGGGACATTGAACATTGTTCCTAGCTTAGGGCGCTGTAAAGTTAGGGCTTGCGCATGGATATTCAAATAGTATAATCAACAGAGTACATATTTATATTTATCATGCAACAATTACATCGTTTTAGATAATCTGAGATAGTCCTATAAAACAATTTTAACAGAAAGCCCAAACCGCTATGCACTAGCAAATAGAACCAGGGATAATGCTTCATGAATAAGAAAAGACTTGTACCAGACAACCAATGGATTCTGGAACGGATAACAAACAGATGTTACGCTGTTGTAGGTGAATCCGGCGGAATTTAATACCTTTTGAATTAACTGAGTTAGAATTAAGATCTTATACCTGTTAGTGTATTTTACTTTTGCACGCTTTTTCTAGCGCTCCGTCGGCTTTTCGCAGCTATGCTTGCCACATGAATGTTGTCTCCTAGCGGTGCGTATCTCAGGAGTTACTAATAAAGTCTGCCGGATTCGCTTGTTACAGTCTAATATTGGGCAGAGACTTGGGCCGAAATTAATGAAGAAATGGGATCGAGGAACGCTCCGAGTAGGACAGGGCTAAACCAGGTAATTGTGCCAGAAAAAGGAACAGACTCTCGACATAAACATATTGTAAAACACCTTTGCCATTACAATGTCTGTTAATGAAGCAATCATTATTGCAACAGGAAGAAAAAAACTATCCATTATTTTACTCCCCCGAGTTTGAGACGAAATCATATTTTTACTAAATCATGGTACAAAATGATCTTCACCAAACCACGAAAATATGCCTTTAACTGGAGTACTGGCGCTGGGAGGCTGAGAAAGTCTATAAGTTCAACTTTTCATTGTAGCGTCTAACCACACTATGGTTAGAGATTATACGCTAATATACATGCATTTATGCCGTGCTCCTACATAAATTCCAAAGTGGTTGACCAAACGATTTTTGCTGATGCAACTTTTCAATCAACGTAACAGTCTGGGGTCGATATATATATAATGGATAAAAGCTGCAGAAGGTAGCACTACGCGTATTCGCGCAAAAAAGACCCCTACCATTCTGTTTGTTCCTATTCGACTCCTTTTAACGGGTACCACATCCCTCAAGCGTTTTTACTGCTCATCACGGACAGAAAACAGGACTGATTTCGCATTGGACAGGTAATATGTTGACATCTGATGCACATCCCGAGGCCCGGCTTCCGCGTTGGTGGTGTATTTCCACCGACACCTGCTAAGTAAATTGCAACGAAGAATTGATGCCTAAAGTCATTTACGACTACTATGAAGACCGTATGAAAGCGCTGAGAGCGTATGAAGGCGCTAAAGACGCCTTTTCGAAAGCCTGAGGAGCACACGCGCCAATGTTACAACTGGTCCGATTTGCGTTCTTTTACTTTTGAGTAATATTGTTCTATTTCATTTACAAACAATGTTTAATATGGACTAGATTTTCCAAGAGAGTTATCACGAAGGCGGCAGTTGTGGTGAGTTATATAAAAACTCACTATTTGTTGTGTACCAGCCAGCATAAGATGCACCTGCACACTGCTATCTACTCAAATCGTTTCGTTGTTTTTGTTGCCACGACCGCACCCCTATCCGACTAATTTCCTAGAGTATAAATTCACCATAATAATAATAATAAACAAACCAATTTACTTGTTTATTCAAGAATCGACACTTGTATTAAAAAAAAAAAATATATGAAGATCATAAATGAATGGTGAAACAAATATAAACGGATTTTGAAAAAGCTAACGACCAAGGTTCTCGCCTAACTTCCACTGCAATTAATTATACTTCATATATGATATCTAAGTGTACTTAATTCGCCTGCATTTCGGCTACAATGTCTTCGACGGTGGCGTAAAAGTCCTGCAAGAACATAGAATGCAATCTGAAGTGTAATATCATTCACGGCCTGATGGAAAAATAACTAAAACCAAAAAACCAGTTGTTAATCTACAACAGAATCTGCATAATATTGTTGTTCTACAATTTAGCTATAGTCTATCTCAAGCCGTGCCTATCAGATATAGTAACTGAATTTTTATGTGTTTAATTTGGGTCTGTCGAATGCATCCCCGTGGTTTAGAAATATTTCGAGGTCACGATCTTTTCCTAGTGCAGCTCTTTCCTCAAAAATAGCATGTAGAATAGTACTGAATGAAAAACTTCACTGCTTAATTGTAGTTGTTGAAATAGTCCGACACACGGCTAAAAATTACAATCAATAATCCGTACGAGTATTAGACGAAACACTCGTTTATAAAGCGAACACTGTCACTTAAATTTCTGCCACGACCGAGAAGAGCTGATCTTTTAAGTGCCAGTTATGTCAACCTCATAACAACTTTATAAAATATTTTATCCTGCATAAGGGTAAATAAACAGAAGGGTTTCATTTGATCGGAAGTCTAATAAACGTCGTTAGGAACACTCTTTGAGATCATACATTTTGAGCCAAGAACTAATTCCTGTTAGACAAACGATGATCAATATATCGTGAACCGTACATGTAGCCAACAGTAAAATCGGACGAACATAGAGTGGTCTATTTATTCCGCCAAAATCAACTTCTAATACGAGTTAGTGGCAGAGTTATGTGCGACTTCAGTGCTCTGATAGTCATGGTCACATTATGATGAGCAAACAAACATTTCTCTTGGCTACCTATATCGTACTCATTCAATTATCAAACAGGCACTGTTGTTTGGACACTCGTTCGGACACTGTTGAAAAATACTGCACCGTTCTAGAACAACAAACAAATACAACTTCTGTTAAAATTGTGACCAATAAAAAGCTGTTCAAATACCAAACGATTTTTTTCATAAAACCATCACTGTTGCTATATTGTGCCATATGAAGTGGCTATGATTCCCGCCTCTGCTTGATGGTAATAAGGCCTTTCATAGCATCGAACGAGTTACCGTCGGGCTGCAGGCGCAGCATTTCGCCATCAGGTTTCTCCGCCAGCAGGAAACCGTCCTCATCGACGCAACGTATGGTAGCCCGGGAATTGACTGCCTCCACGATGACTTCTTCGTCCGTGTGTAGCCAATTGGCGTGATACTCCTCAAGAACTTTTGATGGGTCTTTTTCGTAGAGATCCAACAGCCTCTCGAACTGAGTTAACTTTACCGCGATGAATTGTTCCACTGTAAGTTCCTGGCTGTTTGCCAAATCGTTGACACACGTGAGCGGCTTCGAGTTGCTGATATTGACTCCGCAACCGAAGTAGTTGTAATATTCGCCCGTTGATTTCATAGTGCAAGTCGACAGGATTCCGGCAATTTTTACATCGCGTTTGAAGTATACGTCATTTGGCCACTTAATGGCAATTTCAAGGTATGGGTAAATAGATCGAATGGCCCGAACAATGCTCAGCGCTGCCAGGTGTTGAAGGAACGACATTCTTTGGGCGATACGATCCATCTGCGATAAATGTAATACGACACTATACATGGCGCATCCGCGAGGGCTAATCCACGAATTTCGCCCGCGGGCTACAGGACGAATCTGGCGTGTGGCCACGGCCACCGCACCATGGACCGAATCGATTGTGCGGATCGTTGACATCGTCGTCGACACATTCTCGGTGTAGAGAATTGTTCGGCCTATTTCGCGCGTCCGCAAATACTGAAAATATTTCTCCGTGTTGAACTTCGAGCGGTCCGGATGGCCCAACCGGATCGGAGTAAACTTATCATTAATCGGCTCATCGTCCGAGATCCGGAATTCTTCATCGGCAAGTTTGCCATTAAAAAACGAGTCAACCTGTTTGTCTGTCATGAGGTAACCTTCGGTCTTCGAAATCGACTTGTCCGTTTGGTCGCACAAAATTCCTAGACCCTCGAAATATTCACGAAGCGCCGAATCGTCGTCCGTCTCCACGTGAACAGCTTTAGCTAGCAAATCTGTGTTTACCAGCGCTAGATCTCCACCCGCAATAGCTCCACCTGTCAGGAAGTAGTTTTCTAGATTAGCTTTCATCGCTTCCGGCCATTCTTCTGGCTGAATTTGGCTTAGCCAGAGTAAACGACAATTACGAATCCACGCCGGTGACTGTAGCTCTTGCACAGTCATCGTATAGACTAGATACAGATCTGGGTCTATGATATTCTCAATACGCTTTTTCCATTCAGCGTCATCCTGACCGAATACCAAAATATGTGGTGGTTTCAACATGAGCGAATTCCTGTGGTCTAACGGGGCACTGTCACCCGTAATTGCTACATAGATCGGGCTACGCACAGTCGATTTTAAAGGCTTAAGACATCTGAAAGTTATCTGCTGTTGAGCTTCGATTAGCACGCGTCTAGCTACGGGTGCTAAAAACATTAGCGTCCCGACTGTTCTAGTCTACACAACAACGGTCTACGGTCTACGGCTACCACTTCTCGATAAGTATCCCCTAGAGGAAGAGTAACGATCTACCGGCACGATTCCATTCGTTAATCGATGAGTGGCGGATGCTTGTTATTGATATCGTTTCTGGCCGACTTATTTGTCGTAGCTTGAGGTTACACACCAATCCAGCCGTTGCAACTTTCTCATACGGAGAGGGTTATTATGATTAGAAGGAGCTTTCTATTGAATAAAGCGTCACCTCTAAAGTATCAGTGACGTAGCACACTCACACTCATAGCAAACACGAGGACGTATCAGCAAAACACTCACTGCGCTAATCCAATCATTTCACGGTTTGTCGTAACGTACCGGTCAGCAGCACCCGGAACGAAAAAAGCTGCGCCGCAGCAGTAGAAATATGCGTAAATAATATACCCAGTTAGCTTCTGTTCTAACAGGTTAGAGAGAATCAGCACAAATAAGCGCGTTAAACAAAACAGACACTTCAAAATAGAACAAACAAAGTTTTGGCTAGGTTTTGAACTAACAAAACTCGAATTACATTTTTATTTTGAGGCATAATCCAATTGGTTAATATAAATGGTACAGTTGTTCTAAGGCGTTAAATTCGAAAAAAAAAAAAAAAAGCTTCCCTTTTCCCAAAATCTCGGAACCGGCAGATTCGACACTTCCATATTATTTAGATTATGTGTGGGGCTGACGAAGCTTTTCTTAAGTAGCAACTATACCACTAGTGAGTACCTACTTGAGAACTAGACGTAAAAAATGTAGCTGCTTTGGTTTAGCGAAATTTATTGTACTATAAGGTGGATAGAAGATAACAAATAGCAGCAATAGAGAAATTTAAATAGTAGATATCAAATTTGATAAGTTGAAATAATTCAATAACAATCATTTCCGCTCGATTTGTATAAAAAGCGGATAACGAGCTTAGAAACAGTTCAGCTGCTAGCGAATCGAAGTCCCTCCAGATACAAGTAATTTAATGTGCCACACATGTCTAATCTGATTCCATGCCAAACCACATATACTTTTCATTCTTTTCTAAACACCCTGAAGGTGCAGTTCCTTCCTGCGCAGGGTCTTCGGCCAGTTCTATATACGGGCGCTGTTACCCCATTTGTCTATACAGCCTAATGGCTACGGGTAATAAACGACGTGGGAAAGTGTAAAGGGAACGATTCGGTGTTTTCGATCAAACCTATATTCAGTTTAATGGACGTTACCTTGGTCTAGAAATGCTTGAAAATAATTTGCATGAATCGAAAAAGAAAGGCCAGACATTTACGTGTGGGTTGAAGTGGCATACTGGAAAGCTTGGAATTCAGCTACAGTCATGTTCGCTGGGAGCAAATTTATGTGAAAAAAACTGATCATCAATCGGCAGCTGTGTCGTAATTGAGGGTCTAAGATTTAGATGTCTACTTTTCCATTTATATATTTCGATTTTAAGGCCTTAGTTAGAAGAAACAAGCGTATGTCTAATGAATCGTTTGACCCCGAATGACCTTCAATGAAAGCTAGGCATGATTACTCTAATGTACAACCCGATATATCTACCATATCAATGAAGACGACCATTCATCTTTCAGAATAAGAACAGCATCTCATTTATTTAAGCTGCTGACTCTACCGTGATTAGAGATGTGCTACGAGAGAAATACGCATTCTATTAGGTAGTATTACTACTGGATCGAGCATAGGGAGGACGCCTTTGACAACTCCGATTCGTATACTGCAATGCAAGTTAGAAGAGGGGATCAGTCAATACCAAATGACTCGCAAGAGTCAAAATTCGAATTTTGAAAAACATATCAGCGGTCAGTCAAATAAGAACTTGAAAAATACTTACTGGTGCATACCACCAAAAATTACTTAAGAAATAATTGACTTAATTTATTGAAATGTGAATTTACGATTCACAAAATTTCATTAAAGAATAGAAAGCTGAGCAATGTTGAGTAGATGCCGCTTTTTTACAGACCTAAAGTAATCGTGGTACATTCTTCCACTCCGAAAAAAACGTTAATTAAGCAATATTTTTCAGCGCATAAAATGTTATACACACCTTATTACCACTGATTAGTTTCACAGACTAGCTTATTGCTAAATATGCAATGGAGAGTACCCTCCCTGAATGCTGTCGCATATTGGGTAGAGGAGCAAATTTTTATATTTAAACATGCGGGTAGTTTGAGGGAAGGTGTACATTTTTAGACAGAGGTTACAAATATCCTTATTCTATGCAATTCTCGGCCATAGTACTGTGTATAATCAATGTTCATGGTTTAAATATCGATTTATAATTTTATTCGATTTATAAAAAATAATCTATAGCAAAAAAAGGGGCCAAACTACAAATACACAAAATGCAGAATGTTATTAACAACAAAAAACCAACATCGCCAGGTTACTCGATAATATTTCACCGTGGCAAATGCACTTTTTATTTTAGATCTTTATAACAAAATGTATATACATATAATATAACAACTGTATATGATAAAATATGACGAAAAAAATAGGAGTCTATACGAATTGTCAAATTACCTTTTAGTACATAATTTTATGAAACTATTAATTTTTCATTAACAAATCCGTCTGCAGAACTTGCTGTTTCTCCCTTACTAAACAATGTCCATTCATCAAGGATGTGGTTAAGCCTAGGTGGCCGAAATATCTATGAAATATATATGGCAATAAAGTTTAATAATATTAATTTCTCAAACGATAACCGAACTCACCATCAAGCTTTGAGATGACTTCTTCAGCTGCTTCCGCTGACGACACAAGGAGAAGGTCACGAATCGCTGACGTTGGAACTCGCTTATGGCGATGTTGTTCTGCTGACTGAACCAGCCGACGCAAGTTCTCCTAGATGGCCAAAATGCGATACAAAAATTGGCGACGTTGTCTCAAAATAAGTAGATATTGCAAAGCATCTATAGCCATATAGAACAAACATAGACTAAATTGTTTGTACTATAACAAAAAAGAGATACCTGTGGAGTGTAAGTTTGTGATATGAAAAGCAAATGGTTCTTCAACAAATGAGATAGGAATGAAAATAATTTAATAATTCGTTTGTGCCTGTCCATTGCCTATTTATAACCAATGATGTTTTAGTAGTAATGAAAAAACGTGATCTTGCATAGTGCATCATCATCATACTAAAAATGTAAGCATAAAGCTTGCGCTAGCAGTTGTTAGATTAGAGTACCCACGATCTTCTGACTTTGTCTTGCTTGCTGTTTCTTCATAAGAAGAAGTTCTACAATTACACTCTGTTTTGTAGGGTCCACCTCCTGCGAATGCAGTCAACGAAAAACAGGGAACAATAATTATAGAAATAAGTATTCACCTCTTCGATGTCTACCTAGTGATATATGTTCTTTATAGAACAGAGAATCTGCCTTATTCATTATGTAGCGACTGCAAATTTCCGATACTTATATCCCTGTACCGGGTAATTTAGTGTCGATTCTACCGCGAGTCTTCGACAATAATCCGTATTTGCGTTTAATCGTGAAATGAAATAATTTTCACAAGCATCGTGTGACCTGGGTGCTTTATAATATATTTGAAAGCTACAAAAATGTTCGTTTATTTTTGTGGGTGTTTGTTTTTCTTACAGCTATATGGTGCATCAGTCCCTGTGTAACACAAGTAAAATTGCACCGATTTCCTCTGTGTGTTGTATACGACACTAAGCACTAAAAAAACACACTGTTTTTAACCTTGGCATGCTAACTCTCTGCGTCGCTGTAACAATTGCCAGGCTCTGAGTCAAAATAATTATAAATTTAATCAAGATACAAATCTCGTTTCATTCGTGCAACGTGCGCATCATCATCATCGATTCTTTCCCACAGGAGAAGCCGGTGATGCTGCCAACTGTAATTATCTGTTTATCTGACTAACATAAAATAACGACAATCCATAATCGTCGCTCAGGTTTCTGATGCTCAATGTCTGGATTTTTTCGTGTGTTCCTTAGTTTAATAGAAATATCTATATGACTGTAAAAATATCAAGTTAATTGCATTTCCTACACACTCTTTCATCCTCTTCGGCAGACTATCCTATTCTACAAATAAACCTATTGTATAAATGCGACCTTAAAGTAGTCAAGCAAAAAATACTGTTGCCAACGTTAACTATCTATTACGTATCGATGCATTTGGTAACTTTAAGTAACGTATATAATAACTCGTTGCAGGGTTCTACAACAAAGGAAACCTTCTAACGCTTTCTCTGAATCCCTGTTAGATTCAAGCCTTAATGCTTGGCTCCACTTACCCGACCATTTATGCGAAATCCTTCCATGAGTGCGTTCGTTTGCTGCATGAGATCGTTTTGCATTTTCTGACGCGCTATCTGCTCTTTATTAGCTCGAATTACAGCCAATTCAACTGTAGCCTGGCGTCCCATAACATGGACAGCTGCGTACGAGTCGGCCAACTGCGCAAGCAACGATTCATTAGCCGGTTTAAAAGAAAAAAATCTCTCGTGGCCGAATTCCGGGTCGGTGCTACCAGACACTCGCTCGGTCGATACCCGTTCATCTCCGGGAAACAGCGCGTAGCAACAGTAGATCGCCTTTTAGTTGACGAGCGGACAAGACGAAGGAAACGTTGTTTATTGAAACTTTTCGGATGTTATTTCTATCTTACTTGTTTGCGCTATACCAGTCCCTATGTAAGTTAATGCATACAATCTATATTCATATACGTTCTGATGTATGGCGCTGCGTGCTATTGCATATAGAATCGAAACATTACAGTGTAAATATTTTCTCAATATTCAGCATCGTCAAATCATAGTGAAAGCACTAATTCAATAATGATATTGCTGAAAATTACAGACTGTGTATCCTTTCGGTAGATTTTTACAACAATGTATTTTGACGAGAAACGACAGGTTCTTGCCGACCAACTCGGACGGGTTGTCAATAAAGACGTTGTCCTCTTCGGTGTATTCATCCCCGTAGTCATTGCATGGCACCAGCTCGGTCTGTAAATATATGTCATCAAAGATAATGCAGGCAAAGCGCTCGCGCTGGCTATTATACGCTAGACTGCGATTATGTGTTTATATTAAACAAGCCCTTATTCAGCCATCGTACTGTAGTAATCACCTTGCTAACAACGCAGATGGCACGTTATAACAGATTCAATTTTATTTGGGCAAGCTTGTAAAAACGATTATTCGGTGATCTTGTAAAAAAATTACCCTAAAAAGCTAATACTGGATAATGCTATATGAATTTTCCTTTTTCATTGGTTTTGCCGTTGTTACTTCTATTACAGCTTACCTCTACGAAACCGACAGGCTCTCCACGAAAGTTGACAACTTCAAGATTTTCGCGGACTCGCACAAAGTACATCAGTGGTTGCAGATACAGACGTGCGGTACCTATCCGCACGTCAGCGTCAGTATTCTCAAAAAATGGATCTGCACATTCGGGAACATCAATATTTTGACCTTGTTCCCCTCGACGGTAAAGTTTCCGCATCGCTAACAAACGCATTTCAAAGGTCCGTAGAGTCCATTCGAACCGTTGATTATAACGTGTGTGGAACACTGACACAAATATCTAAAGAAATAAAATAACTTCGATTGATGTCTTGTTAAAGATAGTCGGAAATTTCTGCTCAGTTCGTCTAAAGATTAATGGCAGAAATTCTGCATATATGCAATGTCGAATACGTGAAAAAATATATAATTAGTTTTGTCGCATTCACTGAAGGTACTTTCTGTGCAGTTTGAATATCTCCTACGTAATTTTACTGCTAACACACCGATGACACACCTCTGTCTGTCCATCAAGTCTCCCTTGCATTTCCGGTGTAACTAGTTGTACATCGTACTTGACGTCTTTCTCCAGCTCTTCGGCCATAACGTTGGCCTCGCCAATCTGAGGCAAAACCTCTAACATGCGTCGATTCAGAACACCAGCCTCTGGGGATAGATAGACACTCTATATTTAGGCGCATTTACATCATCTATTCGCACCCCTTCGTTTTTGCCTACTCGACATTTCAGAACGACTTCATAGCATGTTAATAAAACGACACAGAATAGATATGCAACGATTTAAAACATAGAATGAATGAAAGTACCAAGTGTGTTGTCTGTAGAGAAAACGATTCCATTGTTGGAAATGATTTCCTCGAATGCGCTCCAGTAGTTTATATCTGGTTCATCGGCGAAATGAACAGTTCGAGGCTCCTCTTTCGGGTTGCGGTATACATAAACGTGACGGCTGCCAAATAGTATTCTGAGGAGCAAGAAGAGTCACAAGGTGCAAAACTATCAAACTTTTGCAGTTTTGTATGCTTCACACACACACAAATACATCCCATAGTGGCGGAATTTCTCTAGCTTATGTAATTTTTTCAATCTTTAATACATCATCAGTAGCTTTTTACCGATCGTTGTTCTTCAGCTCTGTGCGTTTGCTGATTGTGTGTCCGTTGATTAACAATTTTGCGGTACGCGACACTGGCTCGATTTGAATGTTTCCTGATGGGGCTCGACTTAAAACTGCATGAATAGGTTCGATCCCGGGACCGACCAACACAGCCGTATTATCTTTGTCATTGCCTACTGTCACGTCGCCGTTGAAAACGAAATGAAGGATTCGATCCGAGGCCATCGGATCCATTGAAAGGTTGGACAAGTGTGGAAGTCTCTTTTTATCGCCCTCTTCACCAAACGTGCTAGTAATCTAATAGGCATAGCAAAGGAAAGTGCCTTAGTAACCAATGTACTCTACATATTGTTCAAAAAGTTATCAGGTGGAATCAATATGATTTAGATTGTTCAAACTGTATAGATACAGATATGAATGAATGAAAAATAAGTATACAAGCAGTGCTTCAGAAAAGGGCAAACTTATTTTCGTTGTTTAAAGTTGCTGGTCTTTACCTTGCAGTCTAATGACGATCTTGGTGCCATAAATAAAAAAAGTAAAAGACTTTGTCGTTAAGGTTATAATACACGAACTCTACGAGAATAACTATCTGCCATTTGCGCAGTTAAATCAATGTATATATAGTTTCTGTACTCACCGATTGGATAAACAATTCAGTAGCTTGCATCCTTTCGTTTAGCGGCTCCTTAAGACGTGCCATTCTTTTCTCGTACTCCTTTATTAGAGCCTTTGTTACTTCAACTGACTTTTTGACGTCGTCGCTTCGCTCCTCTGCAGAAAACAAAATTTATAGTTAATTAGTTTATTTAGCTTGAGCAATGTTTGTCTGTTTGGCATCACAAAAATCAGTTAATTCGTTAACAAAACCAGGAACAGTGTCTAATAGGAAAAATAATGAAGAATAGTAAGCAAGTTGCATTTTGAATTTAAAAACGTTTTCTGCCTTTCGCCATTCCAGGCCACAGCCTGGAGTGCCTCGCAACTTCTAACATCTACGTTCTACTAAACAGAACTTTTTATGAAATTTGGTTAAGGTTTGTGCATCTAGATCTATTGACTTAAATGGTAACTATACAGGTCTACCTATCACGAATGTCTGGAGCCAATGACCAACAACCTTTTTGCAGAGACTCGAGTTTTTTCTTCGATGCTTCGATGTCCGTTTTGAGATCCTTCTGAAGATCATTAAAAAAAATCTCGTTCCGTTTCACCGTAACTACTCCGACCTTTGCTACTTCTGCGAATTGTAGTGTCCTTAACGTCGTACGGTAGCTTGTGTCTTCCGGAGCTATTGTCGCGATCTGGAATGACATATTTTTGAGTATGTAGTCCCCGTGATATTTTGCAATGGGAGTTGAAAGACCATTTACTGTGTTCATTATAAAGCGAATATACCATTCCTATTATTTGTAAATATTAGTTACTACTTTTAGTGGCGTTACCGGGATTGTTAATAGAAAAACGCGTAGGATCACGACACAGCAAAATAAAAACAAGAATACTTTTGACTTTCTCAATTTGATGAAATTTACCTGAAGTCACTTTTAAGAGACGATAATTGTTAATCAAGAGACAGGCATTCTAACGTTGTAAAAATTTAGCAACCAGCAAATTGAGAAAGCAGAATAGAGAATAAACTTTCTGGACAATCTAACGCGTGTTATATTTCTATTTCATAAGACTTTTCATTATACTTGTTACTTATAGTTGTAATTGAAACGGGCTCCCAGAGTAACACTCACCATATATACATACGCATTGAGCCCAAGTGCTTTCTGCAGGAGTTTGGTTAGGACAGAATCTTCAAAAGGTACCCGAGCTTTAGACGGCTTAGAAACTCCTGTAATCTGTGTATTTTGGTTTTCCTCTTCTGAGACTGTTGTGGCCTCATTTTTTTCACTTTGAGCCGCCCAAGCTCGCAGGCATCCCTCCAGCGCTAAGAGGGATTCATTGAATTGCTTGGCTGCTAGAGCCCATTGGTCATTAGAGTCAGGATCTTCAGCTAATGTAGCCAATTCACTAAAATAAACACCAAAAATAGAGCAGTGGCTGTCATGGTGCGTCATACAATTGAAAATGACTGTTTTCATCAACGAGCGGTCCCAGTCAGTTAAGTCATTTCTAAAATTTCAATTTCGCGAGTTCCAGTATGACTCTAGCTAAAGCCATTGAAACCATACTGAAAGTCGCAATTTTGGATTCGAGATCTTTCCACCACCGAGTACCTTCCAGCTGCTTCAATGATAGTAATAGTTGAAGATCTGCAAAGTTCTTTATTGTGCATTTTTCGTCTTTGGTCCAACCGTAGCCTGAGAACGAGGTTACCGTATCTGCAAAAATACACATTCCAAGCAACGCACTGTAATTTAGATTGTCTGTTAAAAATAAAACGAAGCCTAAAGTATAAATGGTCATACCTGTAATAACAGTTCAATATCTATCAAAATGCATCGTTCCTGATTTAAGAAAAATTCGAATCAGTAAATAAACTTTTCATTTCATATAAAATTAGACACTTATAACATTTTTACTCTGAGTATGTCATTCAAAGATCATTTATTGTGTTTCTAATGAAAGAATACACTAAAACCTTACTTTGTCTCCCTTCTAGTAGATGTAGCGTGAACTGCTCGATTTACCAAAGCCCTTTCAATAATCGCAGCGAGTTCTTTATATGTTGCAATGCTATATTCAACCAGCTCCTGAACTAAACACACAATCGCATAAACGGATGGCTTGATAATTAATTAAATAATTATTTCGACAGTTAATCTCAATATTTGTACGTTTTCTCAAACTATTTAACAGAGTTTGCTTATAGAGTTTTGGCTTATTCTTGACCCTTACTTCGCCTTAAATGAGAATACCTGGGCCACCATGTGCGCCTGAATTTAATAGACGAAACTTTACCACTGCACTACTCTGAGATTCAATACAGTTTCTGAAGATAAACTAATTAAGGTTTATCTTAATTAACTGTCGTTCAAGCAAACTGGTTTTTATTCACTTACTAAAATATCCGGTTTTCGGGCACTTGTAAAAATTAAGTGGTTTGATTTTCTCGGCTAACAAATCAATAGCCTGTTCGTCGAAAATTTCAAATACGCTGAAGGTTACCTCAACCCACAGAAGATCCTGGAATGAAGATATATGAATTTCTCAGTGTGCCGAGCGTTTTTAGCACAATATGAATAACTGAATAATAATCGCGGTACCTTTTACATGCATCCCTCGAAGAGACCAGAATCGTCGATCAATCAGCACCATCAGTTCCGAAAAATGTCCTTTCTTAGTGTACAAGCAAATAGATGACCTTATAAATGATGAGTCAAGCCAGGTCCAATTATGGTCAAGTTCTTAAAAAATTTCAACGATTTAGGCATGAAACAATGTCGATATATTAAAACGACGAATGAAATGTGTGTGGCCTGCCACCTACAGTTCCAACAATATTAGCAAAAAGAGATGATCCTTTGTCGCACAAAATTTCTAATTACACTAAATGCTTATTTAATCTAATATACTAGTTTGTTTACATAGCGGTAAATACGATTATGTTAAACAAGGCACATTATTTTTTCCAACTACAAATAAAGCGGCCAGTTAAAGTGAGACAGACTTATAAGAAGTTTAACATGGGTTTCGAAGTTCTGCCTGCTTTCTTCTGAAGAGGTCGTGTTACTCCTACTAAGGTAACGTTTTAACTGATTATTGCGTACAAATTTTAGTACGATGATAATACCTTGTCTGTGATACGTCGTTTTTCCGACTGGTAAAAAAGATCATCGTATATTCGAAGTGCTAAACCCTTGTTTTCGGCTGTTCCAAACAATGTATAACTTTTTCCCGACCCTGACTCGCCATAGGCTATTATAGTTGAGTCCAAACCATCCCAAAGACATTTCACGATTTCTTGACCAATCTGTAATAAAACATCGATTCACATCCACACATATACATAAGCAATATTATCTTTTAAAGAATTTTTGTTTTTCTATATTTCACAGGGTTTCCAAAACGTATCATACAGTTTACAATTGGTATACGAATGTGACCCACCTGAATGTGTATTATGCCTTGGGTTGCGTACTGCTGACCTCTCTCGTGATCACTGTCCGCCGATAAGTACCCGTTGTCTAGCCGGACGAATCTATCGAATATACACAGAGTTCAACACATGGCTTTACTTACGTTGATATTAAATATGTATAAATGGATTAACACGACTGATGTTATAGTACAATTATAGACAGAAAATATGGGAAGGTCAGCTTAGAGTTCAGGCCAGCGTATAGTTTTCGATAGAAAAAATAAGCTTTTAGGTGAAAGTTAAGACCGAAAAGAATCAGTATTTACTTCTTTTTAACTACAAAGTTAAATTTTGCCTGACTGCAAACTTTCCTCTGTCGTAACTGCGAACTTTCTTTTGCCTTGTCTCTCCTTTTTCCTAAATTTTTTTTTATTTTTATACACATAATTCACGTTGTATATGTACTGTAGCTGTCATATTAACATACCCATCATGAGACCAGTAACATCTTTCGAAGGGAAATCTTTGCATCCTACTAGGTGAATGATCTGAATTTAGCAATCGGACTTCGTGTGCATCCATACTGACACATATGGCTGGTTTGCGCAGATAACCGCTAGAAGAGACAAAAAATGAATCAAATCAACTATGCGCGCATAAGTGTTTATACTATTTAAATGAATTTTTATTCATCATATAGATTATTAAATACAGAAATCAGTTCTTTTTCTTCGTTCTTGCATGTGTTGGTTTTGTAATCTAACTTCGATAGGCCTTTGTGTACCTCTGGCAAGTTATTATTCCATTTCTCTATTTTTTTATGGCTTATTGCAGCTAGTCAGCTAGCACAGAAGATACCCTATAAGATTAGGTATGTTTATTACTCGCATTTGCAATTATAATTTTGATTTTGACTTAACTAGTCCTTATAATAACTTGTTACATTACTGTAGTTGTTCTTTCCTTATAATAAACCATTCTGGGTATACACAGATTGGTGTACGAGAAACTGAGCTACAAAACTTCATAATATTTCACCCTGATTCGAATCGCTTGCTATTCAGGTGCGTTCGGCTGTTAAGCTTACATTTACTCCGAGGTCATGCTTCGGTGGGTTCAGAGGGTGGGGCAATGTGGTTCTAGAACTAACTAGAGTATTATAGTGGGCGCTTGTAAAGCTAATACTATACATATATTGTAGTACTATTGCTATTATTTAAAGGTTCTATTTGATCAGTTTAAGGTCTAATCGGATTTCTTTATAGCACGGTATCATACACTTCGGTCTCAGTGTGATATCATCCGAACCTAACGCAATGTGACGGCTGTAAATAGTTCTCCTTGAAATTTAAAGAAGCGAACGCCCGGTGGACACGGGGATCTTCGAAACTTCAACCCGAATACTTTCGAAACCCAACCCGAATTAGTTTTCTTAATTAAAATTATTTTGAAAATCATTAGCCCATCATTAACGACGATCATTAGCTTGAGACAGGTTTAACTAAACGTCTCTATACTTGGGAAGGCTAAAAAATAATTAAACATACATCGCGTCCAGAACTTCGCAACGATTGTCGTTTGCTTTAAGCTCGTTGATGTAATAAATACATATAATACAATTGTTTATAAGATGCTTTCTTGAATAAAATAAAATCGTTCTACACTTTCAGGTAAGCTGTTAATAAGCTCTAAAGCAACCTTGAACAGAATAACGATGGCGTCCTTTAGCACACCTCACTCAAAGAAAAACTCGTCAGCCTGCTAACATCTAAAAACAAATACCAGATATTCCAAACACCTTTCCTATATCATGCGTAGCGTTATCTTGTTTTGTAAATCTCAAAAACTAAAAACAAATATTGTATAATGGTATATTCCTGTTACCTTTTATTAACAGGTAAACAATAAAGTATGCCTTAATTTCTTTTTACTACCATTGTAAACACCAAGCACAAGCTTTAGCAAAAACCTATTCAACTATTTAATATCAGATAGCCAAATCCACTCTACTATTAATTTTAACCATCTAATGTAAAAATATCAAGTTATCAATAAGTTATAATTTATAACAGATGAATGCAAATTAATATCTTAGAGAACGATACAATTTTGTTTGATGCGAACCTTAAATTGATTAAATGGTCATTCTTACGAGGTAAACAGTGACCAACAAACTCCGAGCTGCATACTTTTTGTGGGCGGTAGCCTAAAGAAAGCTATTTAGCGCAACGTCGCAGCTTTTTTTCAAAGTTACCTCGACTTGGGAACCTAGGGTTGTCTCACAGACAATAGAATCCTTAAGTAAAAATGTTAAAATAAATGTTAAGTAAAAACAAATCAAGTAACCATTTTTCGTTCTGCAGTCGTTTATAATGTCTAGCGTAGCTCTACCGTGAAGTTTGCAAAGCTTAGCCGACTTATCTAGTAAGTTTATCCCTGTAAGTTTGTATCACCAATTCAACGGTAAACGTTGCACTGTTGCTTTCTAGTCCGGCGAGCTGATACGCTTACAATACCGATATATGCCTGGTCGTTTTAACGAACCGAGAGGTAACTTCGCTAAACGAAAATACCGTGAATTCATGGAAACGTAGATGACAACACAGATAGGATGAACAAAGGTTTATTGATCAGTAGAGTTATCATTAAAACCAGAAAAAAAAGTGTGTGCTGTAAGGTTCTGCCAAAGGTAAACAGGAAACTTACCCCGTTAGACTCCTAAACACAACGAAAGGCCTCACCCGAATTGCCACTCGCACTGGAACCCTTTCCTCCACTGGTAGTGTAATTTTTCGAGATTCATCTCTTTGTTTGGCCCTATCAAGTAGTGATAACTGGGACTTCGAAATAAAAGAGCTTCTTTGGGAATACAGTCCGCTCAGAATTTTGTCAGAAGCCAATGAAAAGCGTCGAATCTCCGTCTTGGTGTTTACCGTCCCAGTGAACGGTCTTTTAATAGGAGTAGACGCCTTTGTTGGGACACTGGAAGCTTTTGCAGATGACGAAGTTCGATCCGGAAAGATCTCTTCATTTACACTGTGTAAAGATATCTTCGACATTTTTAACCGGAGGTACTTTGTCGTCACACTATTCCGATGCCCTCTCTCTAAAGCATACAAATTTTTTCCTCAACACATTAATACTGCTTGTGCTTCCTATGCGCTATCACATGCGCCCCTAAAGGTGTTTTTGCAGTTAGGAAAAAATCCGTTCTATCGCTCACACGATCGTTGCGACCATTCCAACGCAACTCTTTTCAGGGTACCGCTTGTGAAACATATTCATCGTATTAACACCTGTTGGGGGCTGTACTTAGCTTTTGACTACTGGGGCATCAGCCCGAAGGATCACATGACGGATCATGATTTTTTTTCTTTGGAACCTCATTTTAAGATACTGCCATTTTCCTTTTAATTAAGAAATTACAGTCGCGTTGGGAGTCTTACTAATTTTTTCATTTAATTTAGGCAAATCTACGAAGACTAGGATTTCATGGCTGGCTCCACCTAAGAGAAAAGGCACGTTAGCAGTTCTGTTAGTAACCGGGTCGTGCGGTGCTCATCTAGGTCGAGTGAGAGAGGGTCGCCCTAACAGAAAACCAGTCCCATGTGGTGCAGCAGGGCAAGGGTAGGAGGCAGACGAGTTGCTAGAGATTAGGATGTATTGGCCACAAGTAAGTATAGCGAAATCTATGATAGTCGATTAACTAAGAATTGGGGCAATAATATCTCTGAACTCAGCATATAAAATTACCTATACATGAGCAATCGTAAAATGGCCGTATTTTCCAACGTATTATCGAAAAGCATAAACGGGGAAAGAAATCTTATCTCTATAATTTAAGTGATAATATTGATGTTTTTATACTAGCATACAAACCGTGAGATAATTGCGTGGAAAGCGAATCACTGGCGCAAATCTTTGAGGTGAAATTATTCCCTTATACATTGAAGATCGACAGCTGCATCCTTTTGCAACTATAGTGATCTCGCAAGGGGAGAAATGCTTTTTATTAGGTATTAAAGAAAACAATGAAATAAATAGACGTAATTGTATCCATTGCATACTGGCGGATTTCCACCACGTCACTTTATATGAAAAACGTAAAACTGACATGTACGTCAACTAATATAATATTAGGTACATTCAGTACCGCTAAGTCTCATTTTTTTTGGAAGCGCGTAATTAACTTAAAGCAAAAACGATTCAAAATTAAGCTACCTGCCTGTGATCTTCTTTCAAATAAGCCTAATTATATCTTAAGGTAGTTCTTAACTTTAAAAACTCGTACCGTTGCCTCTCTAAGCAAACTACTATTTCATCTACTTATTGCAGTCTGTGCTGGTTATCGTTGGTTCTTTATTTCTTCTTCGAAAACGGGATTAGCTACCGAAGGCAATAATATGACGCTGCTGTTCAGTGAACACTTTTAGGGAATTTTACCTAGGCCAGAATACGTTGCCTACGTTGGCTAAGGGTCGAACTATAATGAAAAGCCAGTGAAGAGATTTCCCGCGCATTTGAGTGTACCTACTTAGCACACTGTCGCTTATACAGCTCCGAAAGCGACCTAATTAAGTTAGACCTCGATCCCTCCGTCCTCGGCTTAGTCTGATATATTAATATAACAGCATCTCTCCCGTACACCTCTCAGATCCTTTTTCGCATAGGCTAGCTGAGTTGACCGTAGTGTGGCATTGCTTTGTTTATAGGCACAGCGTTGTCCACTCTTCAGTGCAACGGGATATTGTCCGGAATGCTCACTCAGCTATTGGCGAGATTTTGCTGTATAGGCTGTGGCCCATGTTATAGCGGTCAGTAGGTTTGGGTCAAGTTTAAGCCACAGGCCATCCACGTTGGCCCTTGTCCTTCCCCCGTCACCTTTGCGACGAAGAGCATAAGCATAGCCGACCTAGATTCAACGAGCCGAAGCAAAATTGGCGCAGGTAGTACGGCACCCATAGTACGTACTTCACAGTTACAGAAAATGCAGGCAAAAGTCTAATAGTGTAACTGTGCACAATCCTGAGCAGCAATCAACGATTATATCATGGTTGAGGCTAATTCGGTTTATGACAAACCGCGCATCTAGTTCAAGATCGGAGCCGTTGCTTCCCTGTTGTTCAAAATTTATTGCCCGTCTAATCATCATTCAATTAAGGTGCATGAAGCAGCAGAACTCTTTACGATGCTCCTTGTACTTGCCAGCTGTACATGCTTTTACTGAAATATCAATTAAATCAAGCAATATAATATTTTTTGTACGATAGCCTTATACGTTTGTTTAAGAACAAAAGTAAGAACATTGCTCGAATTCAGCAGCATTACTGAATATGAAAATGGATGTCTATCGTTTAACAAAAAAAATTTCTAGGATTTGACGAGCTGTCAAAATAAATCAATTATCTGATGATCAAACGAATCCGAGTCACGCCTTTTTATCTAAGTATAGATAGGATAAATCAATTCTAATATTATCTCGAAGAAAGCAACATTTACGTAGTTGATCATTATTACTATTGTATGAAAAACCTAATGCCGAGGAAAGCAAAGGCACTCATTTGTAAAACAACTCAGTTATCTTGGACCTTCATTTTGTCTGCCGCCCTTGATTCCATATAGAAAACACGCGCTAAAGAAGAGGTTAAATATTAAATACACCTATTTTTAAGCTAAACCTCTATATACTTTTGATAAAAAAACAAAAAATCATGAAAAAACATGTAGCTCTTGTTTATAACTTTATTCTCTTTACGTCAAACTGTAACGTTAAAATACTTTCGCATAACACATTTATCGTGGAAATACAAACATATTAGTACTAAGATTTCACCCATAGACATTTAAACATAGCTTGATAAATTTGACGCACGTGTTCCATAGTTTAAACGTTCTATGTGGGTACCGCCTTCAATAGAATTTGCTATTTATTATTACCTCTATAAGAATCTAGAAACACCGCTGTATATAAGAATATGTCATTTTAATATAAACTTCTAAGGTACGTTTTTTAGAGAGCTTAGTCTTCATGTTTACGATCCTACAGAAGATTTTGCATTTTAGACTTGAATATTTTACTCAAAAGTAATGTCACATACACGTAACCATGTTCGGTGTACATTTTGGATTTCGAAAAGCATATAAGGTTATATTTTACATAATAACTTAATTAAGCCAAAATGGTAGTACTACAGAAGCCTTACCTATTTGACTCCTCCTATTTGTGATGAAGCACCTAGAATTTCGTCCCATGATGCCAACAGTCATCTTGTTACGGAGTCGCTTCTGTTATTTCATTCTCATAAGCTCAATGACTAGCTCAATAACGTTTTGATTTACGTAAGCTCTCATTGACCTGATAGATGTGGAGATGCATTGCGTCGTCGGTGCCCATAGCGTTAGGGAAATTGCTCACTGGAGGCGTCTGTAGGACAAAAGTTCCATTTGGCGTAGCACAAGTTGGCAAACCACCTACCAGTCCATAGAATGGCGGTTGGTGCTGCCATGGCGTATAAAGTGCGCCGTGACAGCATACAGCATTAGCAGCTGCTGGTACTACCGCAGCAGTTGCAGTACCGGAAGGTATAGTGGCGGCGTCACTTGCAACTGGCATCATGCCGCCATGCGCAGATGTAGCCATTTCGGGTGTTCCCCAACTCCAGCGATCGTACGTACGCGTGTTGCGATGTCTACTGTCACAGTGTGCTTCCTCAGGCATTCCGACGCTATGAGATCGCTGACGCATTATCGTTTGCTGAACAACGCGTTCCCGCTCGTTTGAATCGCAACAGTTTCGGGAGCCAGGATCTGTACCATGTCGATGATGTTCTCGAGGTCGAGACACCGATCGTCGTCGCACTGGACGTCGGCGAGGTTGATACGACTGGACCTCTTCCCTGTTTACAGGGCAGCAAGAACAATTCACTCGGTGCCATACCTGCGCGTAAGTGGCTTCATTGAGGTTTCTGAGACCATCATAAATTGCTTCATCATCATCGTCTGTTGTTGCTTCATCATAAGCGCGGCATGGACCCATTGAGTTCTTCTCACAAGTCTGGGGGCAGTGAGGTTCAACAGCCATAAAATTCGGCGTTTCAGCTGCTAGATTGGATGAAGGTCTAGATCCTATCGAACAACACGGTCGACCTGTTGGCGGCAAATGTATTGGCTTAATATCTAGTGAGGATCTGGACCGGATTTCTGTGAAGTACGATTTTTCTGATCTTGATTCTCTTGACTCGGCTCTTGCATGACCACTAGCTATTCCGACGTTTTCTCGTAGCTCGTCATCGTCATCTTCCTCAGATGAAGTAGCCTCGCGATTTGAATGAACGTCCACAATCGCTCGCTGGCTAGGGTCCGGACCGGGAACGTTGTAGAATTTAAGAAGATCGCCAATAGGCATACGTTGCTCGGTATGAGCTAAAACCGTTTCGTTCCAGCTGAGGTTTATCAGGCCGGTAACTTTAAGCGTGCTTTCAAGATACGCAAATCCCGGCTCTCCACGAAATTTGTCGATTGACTCAGGAGAGAGGACAACCTCTACGTTTAACTGCCACAATATCGCCCGAATATTAAAATAATTGTCTTTCTGGCATGCAGACCGGTACGTGATCGTAGCTTTATAGCGACTGTTTAACTCAGGCAAAATCTGCAACGATTCAATAAGCGAAAGCGCTTATGGAAATAGGAATAGTACGCGCATAGTGCGGTATACCTATGAGTTAACGTCTATTTAGCTACATTACAAATTTACACTTCTTGTTTCATAAATAAATACAATAAAGAAGCTTGATTGCATTTATCGTATATACTACTCACCTGTGCAGCTCGAAGTATGCCAGGAGTAATAGCGTCTAACTTGAATATTACCTGCAATTAGCGCAAATCCAGTAATGATCTAGTATACGGATCGTTCACTTGTGTTTAGGCAAATGCAATCGTATTGTAAAAAGGAGCGTATTAGCTACGAAATTTTTCCTCTTTGGATCGGTGAAACTGTCCCACGATAATACTATAATGCATAGCGGCGCATCGTATCTCAGGCATACTGCGCCAAATCTTGTGGACATAATCGCAGCTCTGGCAAATGAAAACCCGCTGTGTCACATATGGTGTGACAAATGTGTAACTATATGCCGGTTCTTTTCGGCCCTTTCCAGCCTTACTGAGTCATGGCTTTTATTATTTAGTATTATTACCGTCATTTTTCTCTCTTAAGTACTGATAAACTCCAAATAGGCAAGGGTGATGGCAAGCTTGAATCTGCATTTCAGATCCTCTACAAATAGCGGTGTGTCGCTTAGAAGGTGCACGTATCTGTTTATTGATAAACGATGTAGCGTATTAAGAAAGAAAGTTAAACTCTATCAAGTCCTTCAAGCTGTTTCGATGAGTAATGATACTAGGCAATTCGGATTTCGTACGAAACAATTGGAGCCACCTTTATTTCGAACAAGACCAGCCCCGTGCGCGAGAGAAGATAGGGCGTCACTGGTCGCACTTAACGTTCCTGAAAGGTCCGGCCGTCCTTCAGAGTGAACAAATCCATGAATTTTAAGCAACATGAATAGTTTATCGTTTTACCTTTGTATAATTCTATCTGAAAAAGAAACCTTTTTTTTTCTTTTATAAACTGAGATGCCAGATTCTCACAATGCCAGTCGTTTTGTAGCTTAGCGAAGATTCCTGTAATGAAGCGCCCACCATAGGTGTTATGTTTTCTTTTTAAACACTGCTGGCAAAGCTTCATGGATATTTAATCAAGTAATACTTGGCGTATTTATTTGATTGGATCATGAACATACGACTGGCTCATATGAATATTAGTTTTGCGTCATTTATATACTTTCTTTTTTTATCTAAATGTACCTAAAATAGGTCCTTTTATTGCATCTATGTCTGGTACTTGCCGCTAAACGTTGTTCCAGATGGCTGACCCTAGCACGAAACAAAGGACTGGCCTGGCGGTCGAGACACACGACATATGACCTCAGTACATGTCGCCGTGGGCCAGCTAATCCTGCATGATTTTTGTCCCATCTGTATAACTCTACTGTCATGCAAGGAAAGCACTAAGCCATACGCAAGTAGTCGTCTCGACGTAGAATACGTGATATACTATAATTAAATTGGTTTGAGAGACCTTCTTGCCGTTTCGTCACATCCATGTCAAACACAGAAATGTGTTTAAATGCATATAAGTGTGAAAAAAATAGGCACCTTGTATCCGGAAATGAGGTATTGGCGTTCATGTTGAGGCAGGCGAACTTCGTCGTCGCTGAAACAAACCTCACTAGGCATTTCGATGCCCTCGAAACTAGGATGATTTGCTCGAAATATTCGATATAACCGTTCGTTATGCTTGGTGGCACGTAATACCACGATTCCTTTCCCTTTCCACAGATGCGGCCTTGTTACTGTCCCTCGAAAGAAATTCATGTCGAAAATATTCTGGCCAATCGACATCCTGGCAGTAATCGGTATAACAGCATAAAGAGGAATTAACATAGCATAAGGTGGAAGTACGCTTTTCTAGCCTAAATATGACGCTTTATGTACACTCCATTAATAGCACATAGTGAGTATGATATTCAGTTACAGCAGAATTTATGGAAATAATTCGCTGACAGTATTTTATGTACATCTTACCCGTATAATTCTGGATAATTAGAAGAGAGAATCTGCGCTTGTACATGTTCTCCATGGTTTCTACGGTCGTTAAGATTATGGCATCCTTCGCATAGCATAAAGCGTCAAAAAATAAAATCGACACTGCCCGCATGCGATAAACTGTTGAGACGATTAGGAAATCACATATTATGCATCTTGCTATCTCAAGAATCGTAAGGTTTGTATATATAATACATTTGTTGTAGATTAGATTTAGAACTGTGGTAGTATATGAACAAGAAATACATCTTAATAACCAAATATCAAAACAATTTAAATGTTTCAAGATTGCACCTATTAAAATCGCCAAGATGCTAAAGGCACTGCTTGGCATGAGTGACTCTCCAAAACACTGTACAAGATAGCAGTCGAAATGCTCACTAGATCAGGATTAATTAGTTGAGTTAAACAATTCAGCGTTGTAAATGTAAGAGAAAAGTGGTAAATTGTAGAAACTACTACTAGAAACTGAGTTCTGATGATGGAAACCCAAACAGGTTTCCTTTAAATCTGCTCAGCACAATGGCTCATCCTTCTACTAAGATGACAACTGTCTTACTCATCTTTTAGTGCAGGCTGTTGCAGTGACATCACTTTGCTCTTTATTCGAGTCTTTGCATCGTTGAATGATTAAGCGCAATCATGAATGTTCTACACAACAATAGAGTCAGAAGTGCTTGGACCGTCAACCAGTACTATCATCAAATTTATGTACAAGGCATTATGCATTAACTACTATACCCGTGTCTGCGCCAACTGTAATTAAAGTACATAAACATCACATATGAATAACTAGTCTGCATGTAGGTATGAACATACTGTTTTAGAAGTAGTATATTGATTTGAATTTTTCCTCGAATCACGTCATTTCGGAACTATTATAATATTCCAAGTCTCTATAGTACAGGGTTCACCCTGTTGTATTTCTAGAGCCTTGCCGTACGACTGTATAGCCATGGAGGCCACAACAACAAATGAACAAAAACTTTCACTTACTCTTCGTGTCGAGCTGTATCAGTCTCATGGACTGGCTCAACTGCGGCAAAGAAAGCAGGGCTTGCCAACAAAATGCTAGCATATACACCTACACCTAACAAAAAAAAGTCCACTCCACTGTGCTCGTCTTACAGTACCCCCTAACAGAGCATAATCGTACATACACGCGCTAAGCGGAATCGAATCGGTTTCGAAATGGAACACTTTCGTGGCAAACGACGCCAATGCCACATGAAACAAATGGATAATGCCTGTCCAAGGTGTGACGTATATGACAGAAAAGCTACGTACTTAAATGAAGCTACAAACCAACGTGGCTGCTGTAGTCAGTCACGTTTCACGTATGCACATATCAGCTGGCACACATGAGCGCTTGGCGCCAACACAGTTCGACAAGGATATACTGCAACCACGATATACCGGGCCGGTAGCTGCGATTCTAAGGTTTTCTAAGTTTCTAAGGTCTAAGGTTCTAAGTAAGGACCACGGACTGTTTGTGTAAAAAATTAAGCGCAAGAAAAAATGCGTGTCAAAGCAACTTACTAACTAAACAGACGACAACAGCCAGTTATGCTAACTCTTCTATGGGCTTTGAAAGCCTGCATTATCAACAAGCTGTTAAGTCGAGGAAGGCGCGAGATACGTGATGCACTAAAGCGAATTAATCTATCGCTATCTATTGATCTTACTTCTGTAAGATATAGTTCGACGTTAAGTTCCGATTACCGATGCTGATAGTCTTTATACAAAGATAAATCCTCAACTACGGCCTTTATTCAAGAAGAGATGGCCCATTTCTAGTCCTACTAGGCAGACAAGCTAAAAAATACTTGATATCAAATGAGTAAGAACCTAAATCAATAACGCTATATTCTCACTATGCATCTAATGTTTAGAAAAGTATATATATAGTACTGTCTAAAAGAAGCATTTGAAATAATTGGATAAACATAAAACAACATATGGAGTTGTTTGGAATAAATGCGCCCCCATGTGAACTATTATCTGGACATTCGTATTTTAACTGTTATATTTTTCCACATAAATAACAAATAATCATACCTTGTTCATGTTGTAATATTACACCGTATCGCAGTCTAATATATATATATATATATATATATATAGTATGCACATGTTTGCTTATGTACAGTAGTCTGCAGTCTATTTGCAACTCCTGAAGTACAAATACATAAAGGCAAATTAATTTATATGTCCAGTATTAAGTATCTTTCTTTTTTTCTGGAGAAAAATACTCGCAACCAGTCCGTCCCTTTTTACTGAATTTTCCATTAGGCCATTTCATACCGCAGTAAGACACCCTACGGAATAGACACGATGACCGTTTGGTCGCGTACTTTATCCGCTCGCTTCTTTTTCTTTTTGAGCCGCGCTGTAGCATCAGCAAAGAAGCTCTCCTCGCTATGTTCTTCAGCTTCGCGTTGAACAAACGAGAGCGCTTGAAGGTTGAATGACACAAGATCTACTAGTTGCGTCATTTGGCTCCGAACCACCTGCCAATCAAGAATAATTAGATAAATCGTCTACTAGCTCTGTTAGAAAGACAATAAAGATGTTTTTACTTTAAACTACCATTAAACTTTGTCACCTAGGGATAAATATTTCAGCTGATTTTTCCCTTCTGGCAGATAAAACATGTTTCAAACCGCACATCAAAATACTTTTACCTAAAATCCCTTTATGTGTACAGTGTAAATATAAAATATCAATGTTGGATGTTTACATAATATGTGTACTGACATCTAATGCACCTAATTAGCGGATATCTAATACAGGCTCTGTCTGTTAAATAGAACAATAGGTCTAAGAGTGACAGTCGTACTAAGTGTAACCTCCATAATAAGTAGTTTATTTTGCACGTACCCGCTGGGCCTTGTCCATAATCTTCACAGCAGATGCAGTAACAAGCAACTGCCCTGAATGAATTCGAATTAAGAAGAAGAGTGCTCTAGCCATTAACTCAACATCCCAACCTCGTTCAATTAGATCTACAAGAATTTCTAACAATGCCAGCACCTGATCGAAGGGCAACACAATAAGAGTCTCTTCCATTTCCGCAGCCGTAATCCGCTTGATCTCTTCAAGGATATAGCGGAAACGGCACGTTGTTCGGTGTATCATAAGGAGAACATGGGGCGCCGCTGGTTTGGTGCCAGCTTTTTTCGCTTCGGCTTCTTTCTCAGCCTCTTTTTCAAACACATCAAGGGCTTCGAGAAGCCTCTCTGCGCATTTTATTGTGACCAGAGTTTTCTTGCCGGCCATGGCTACTTCCTCTTCGCCCTCTCGTGGAATTACCGCTTCCTCAGTGTCTAACTCCTTTTCAGCTTCTTCTTCGCGTTCTATTTCCCGCTGTTCCTCGAGAACCAACGGTTCCTCTGTTTTATCCCATATTCGTATACTTTTGTCATGGCTTGCCGTTACAACATGCTTGCCATTTGGGCTAACTGCCAATGCCCACACCTCGCGTTGATGACCCTCGAGTGTGAGAACACGCTGGAAGTTATCGGCATCCCAGTGCTTTACAATCTTGTCTTTGCCTACAGAAAAGAACTGGTGCGACTTAGGCAGGAATTGGACACCCATGACAGAGTCTGAGTGCGCGAATAGTGACTTATGGCAGTCACCAAAATCAAGTCCCCAGATCTTCACATTTCTATCCGACGAGCCTGATATTAGCAGATTGGAATCGTCCGAAATGTCCATACACAGAACAGGGTACTGGTGTCCATACAAGGACAAAAAGAACTTCAAGCTGTCCATGAAGAATACCTTGACGGTATTGTCCGCCAAGGAGACAGCAAGGAGCTTCGCGTTTGGAGAAATTTTCAAGCAGAGAATTTCTTCAGGCATTTCGAGACACCTGAAATCAGAGGCTACTATTATTACTCAGATGCTGCATTTCATGTCTATAAGAGCTCAAAGCCAATTTAGCTCTTTAACACGAAATATACATTCTTTAGTAAGATGTAAAACACTTTCATAGTATGTTTGCACTCAACATATTCCAAAAAATAGGTGTGGCCAGGGTAGCTTAGCTGACTAGAAGAACAGAACGCATTCAAAGAAATACAACATGCTTTAAACGAGTGACATACCTGATTAGCTTAAGGGTGAATTTCCGAGCCTCCTTATTGATTTCGACGTCCCAGAACTTAACGACTTTGTCGCTTCCCCCAGTCACCAGACCTTTTTTATCTGGTGTGAAGCATAATGACCAACACGGTCCTTGGTGGGCGTCGATTGTTTCAGTGAGTTCGCCGGTAACCAGATCAAACAACTGAATTTTCCCTGTCTTTGTAGCGACTACGGCATGCCGATCTCCTCGTAGCAGGCCACAACTTAAGGCGTATTCACAGTCTAACGAACGAATACATTGAAATGACTGTGCGCTCCAGAGTTTCAACTGCTCTCCAGAGGCCGAAATGATACCTGGCAGTAGAAGAGACAATGTTATACACTGATTATTCTACCGAAAGCTTTAAACACAGTTTCGACTTTTAGCCCCTTAATAATACGGTTTCTAATAATATACTATCTGTCACAAAAGCAGAAAAACTAACCAGCGTTATCCGATGTGAAACAGAGGGTACGAACATCTGTCCGGTGTCCAAGATGACGCAAGCTGTCGACCACCTTGGCGGGTTCCTTCTTCTCTTCAAAGTAGAGCTCCATGATGTCGAGGGCGTTGCTTTTCAGTCCGATAAGAGCACGAAGTGAGGATGTAGATTTTTCGACCAAGATGTCGGCAGTAGACACTTTTCCCTTGCATGAGATTACGTCTGCGGATTGTTATTAAACCAGTTGTATGTGTGCTAAAAATATTGCTTTTCTTCCTTTAAATACACGATATCCTAATAACCGTGACAGCATGTTCTTCATAAGCTATAAAAAATAAAAAGCTAAGCTGCCTGTCTTGAAGGCCAGAGCGAGTTTCTGTGGTGCTGCTCTGTACCTACTAGTTAGCCTGGGTCCTTTAGGTTTTATGTAACACGCTGTCCGCAGAGGCACCCTGGTGAACGACAGCGTGTCTTTCTGAGCTGTGTCGATTAGTGGCCCAAAAAACACATAAAATAAATGTAAATGATACTTTGCTTGAAAATACAAAAGTAGATGACTCATATCTCATGAACGGGTTCACCAAGGACTTGAAACAAACTTATTACAAGGAGCCATCCACTATATCACATAAGCACACGTCAACTCTACTAACTTGAGTTATTCGCAAATGTAATTTTTTATTCGTTTGATTATATGAAAAACGCACAGCAGCACCTCAGTTTGCTCTAAAAGCGGCGTCTGCAGTACGGATCCTTTGACTATATAGGAGTTGTTACAATGCTCACAAAGTACGGACTTCTCAAGAAGAAGATCGCAAGCATTTCAAAAGCATTCGGTAAAACACAATGGCACAAATAAGAGATAAACTTTTAGTGTCGCTTTAAGTCTACTGCCTTTTTTACCCGAATGAATATCATGAATCTGACGAAACTATGATGATGTTATACGCTTGAGCCCTGTTCATACTACATATTTTAAGATTTGAATCAAGCCTGTCAACTTTGCGGTATCAAACTCAAGATATCGACTGTAAATTTAAAACATCCATGTTTACACGTGTGGCATATTACATACGGGCGAAAAACTGCTACGGAAGTAAACAAGATTCTTTTGTTAGCCGTACTTTAATTTTTTTCTAGCTATGCTGTAATTTACAACAATTATATTTTTGGTCCTAATACGAACTCTCTTAACACGTAAGAAACGGTTCCAGGACCAGTTGTCACAGTTTAAATCGAAAATGGTTTTGTTCGTCATATTTCATAAAAAATCCACACTCCACCTTTGATACGTGACAAACTGAAAACAGTTTGAATTTCAGCGACATGAAAAAATATGTTTCTACATATTCAGAATAAGACATATTATCCATGTTCTGAAAAACATGACGGCTCAATATTCTGACTGTATTTTTACATCAAGAAAAATTAATTTGAACGAATCACAAACATGAACAAATCTATCTGGGACACTAAATAGCTTGAGGTGAATGACTTACCGCAATAATAAAACAAATGTCTTTTTTTAACTTATAAATAAAAGGGCATAGAATAAATCGATAGAATACGTAAATAAATGTACAATAATATTATCATATACTCACTGAGTCGTCGCACCAGATCCCTCACAGAGATTTCTTTTTCGACCTTGACATCGTCGTCTTCAGCCTTCCGCTTGAGTTCCTTCTTAAGTCTTTTGCTGTGCTTTTTGCGGACCTCATCCTCGGTGAGCATGCGGAAAATCTCAACCTGATGATCTTGGCCCCAACAAGCGATTACAAACGAACGTTTATCTAAAATCAGACCGCATGTTCGACCTTCGGAATGGACACAGAACTATTTGTTAATCGAAATTAAAACTTCAATTACAAAATGCATTGTTTAAAATGCATTTTAAAAACTGCTTACAGCCTGGATCAAATTTGATGGCAAACGCATTGCACTTTCATGCTTTGCAAGGAACTTTCACATCACAAAATGGGTCCAAAATATGCTTTCCTGCGGTACGTTTCTTCATACAGTGTTAACAGCGCTATTCCCGTAATGACTTCAGACATGATCCAGTCGAATAATGAAATATAAAGCCGCATCTTAGGTTTTTCATTGTTCTAATGTATCTCGAAACATAATTGACGACTAAGAGTAACATGCAGATTACCGATCGTATACCTTTTGTACGTAATACTATTTTGAAGGCTTCAACATATCATATAAATTATTGTGCAGCTCAAATGAATCTAAAAAGAACAAAGGTACACTAATAGCCTGATATTCTGGATCTACAAGACAACTACTCTTTGAAGAATCGCTTTGAGAAAATTGACCCGAAGGCTATCAGTACTACCAATAGACTTATCTCAATATTTTACCATCCAATATGTAGGTTCAAACAGTATCTGCACAAGTAATTTAATCGAGTGTACCTTTTCCTTGCCGAAGAATCGTCCCTAAACGTGCCAACCGGAGGGGAGAGGCTATTTCAGTATCGCCTGCTTCGTTATCCTCATTTTTTCTCTGATCTGATAACTCGTTTCCGCCTCGGGTATCCTCATCATCTTTCTCGAGCTGAAATGATCCGTCAGCTCTAGTTTTTTTCACTTCTTCATAATTTCTTCCTTCTGAACCATCGGCCTTTACAAATGACAAGCGCCACACAGTCAGTTCCGGCGCCGATGTTCCACTAACCTAAATAGATAATATAATATTACAAATATCAACAGAGAAAAAAGGCACGTTATTATGGAAAAACATATATATATGAACACTGAAATCACCTAAATGAAGAATATTTAGATTTTTAACGTTCGATGTCGTCGTTAAGCATTGCTTTAGATTGACAAAGTAAAATCGCTTTTCTTCACGACTTATGGGTTTGACCTGAAATTTGGATTTTGCTAAACTTGCTGCAACATAATGTACTTTCTATGCAGTTAGTTAGGTGACCGCATGCTAGTTAAAGTATAACGTGCAAGTGGACACCCCATGTACGAGGTGTTCACTTCATTTACCGTCTAATATTTGACTAACTAGAGTTTGCACGTTAGAATGAATTAAAAAGAACTTACACAATATTCCTGTGAAGCCAAGTAAGACCACAAAAGTGCAAGTAAAAATTCATTTCTACATATTTTACTGCGACTAAGCGATGACCTCTTAATAGTCTTCCAACAGAAGACTTAGATTAGGCTGACACATATCGTAACTAATACGTAATAAAATATTATATTGAGTCTTGCAGGTAGTACTAACCAGCCATTTTCCATCGATGACCACAAAGTCCCAAACTTCGCCGCGGTGGCCGACAAGTGTATAGAAGCAATGCTGAGTATCTAGATCCCAGAACTTAATAAACGAGTCCTTTGATGATGATACTAGGACTGATTCAGATAAGAAACTTACCTAAAAGATATATAATCACAAATTTTTAATTACCGTCTTCGTTTAAATTAAAACTAAAACGAAAAGGCACAACAGTGAATCATATATACTATTTGGTAAAATTACTCTGTAAAATTTTTGGCTGAACTTACAATAACTTCAGTCTAGGTAAAAAAAAATACTGAAATAAAATGCACATAAAATTAGCTGACTAGCAAGTCGATTCAAAAGAACAACGCTCTTACATACGTAAGCGATATTCGCGATAAATTATTAAAGCAGCATCCTTAAAAACAACCACAGATCATGATAGACAACCCTTGCTTGGCCTCAATCATGACTCAGAAACGTTTAACTTTTATTGGGGTGTCTAGAACAATTTATGAACAATATTGTTTAGCGTTAAAATCAACGGCAATAACTGAATATTTCTTTCAAGGAATGAAGAGTAATGATAAAATTAAGCAGGAAAAAAACAACAGATAATGACGCAATTATTAAAAATCGTACCTTTTGAAACGGGTTGCTATGATTACGAAATTATTGAGCAAAACAGAGCACGGACAATGCGCCCTTTATCGACTTAATATAGATTCATTTAATTTGTGTAGTGTACCCTAAAGACAGTCTGCACGATTGGGTATAAATAAGAGACCTGCTTCGACCACGCCTTCAATGAACGAAAAGCTTCCATGGCTACAGCAGCTTCCTCCTCTGTTTGAAGTCTTGAGGTGTATTTACCCCTTTGGCAGTGATTGTAACCACTTGTTGTTTCGGTTAAGGATCCTTGCCTAATACTTATAACGATAGATTTCACCGGCGTACTCCCTTTCGAGAAACAGAGCTTCAGTTATTAAGCTCTGATTTTCAATATTCACCAATATCTTTACCTTGACTTTCATTGTTCTTCAACGAAATTCATTTAGCTTACAACCGCAATACCCTGAACTCTAGACAACTAGATAATTCATTTCTTTGATTAAGTTTATCTTGTCAAAATTTTATTACACTTTTTTAGAGCTATGCTTTTCGCCGTATGACAATGATGAAAGCCTCTATTTCTGTAGGAAAAGCATCGCATTCGGTTCGAGAACATAATAGCCTTTAGGGAATAATCTTCACTATCTTTAAAATGAAGAGATTCTCAATGAAGGGGATTTTGTTTAGCTTATCTTGAGGACCATATCAATTTCCAAACGCCATTGTTCGCTCTTAGTACTTTTTTTCCGTACAAAACCCCATTCTTGGTTTTGAGAATTTTCAGGATTTTTTTTATTTAATGCGCTCATTATCTTGAAGTTTGGCTAAAGCGAATGTATTATATAGACTGATGTCTTACAGTATTAAGGTATTTAGACTAGATTTAATAAGAGATTTAGTAGATTGTATTGGTTACCTGCGTTATGGGTCCTTTGTGACCTCTCAATCGATAAAGACCACTCTCGTTAACAATATCCCATACAATGATAACACCGTCCTTTGCACCAGTTACCAATTTACTTCCTATTTGAAAAAAATAGGAAGATTCAAGAGTTAATAAAAATGAATATCGGTATTAAGTTAATGAGAGAGTACTGCACTTAAATACAGTGGGAAAATCGCTATCTGGTAATGTGAGATGTATAAAGATTTTATTACACAACTTTCACATATAGACCAGAAAAGTTAAAAATATAACACGGCAAGTATTAAATGCCTACTATTAAAATTAAAATAATATATTATTATTACATTTTGTGTACCTTGTTGTTTTTCTTAAATTTAATAATTTAATTTAATAAGAATTTAAACCTACCTGCATTAAAATGTTCCATGGTCTTTAATCATTTTATTTATCAACGCATGATTTTCTTTTATTTAGTGTTGCGACAACAAGGCAGTCTGTGGTAGATGATTTACTCGTTTATAAAATGGAAACGACATTTAAGTTTTTACAGAAAACAGCTTACCACTAGGATCTAACGTCATACAAGTAACTCCAGCCCTATGCCCTTGAAGGGCAACTCGAAGTGAGCCATCCTCAAAAGAGAAAACTTTTACTGTCCCGTCGGCATAACCAACCGCAAGGAGACCTCCATTAAGAACGCATAAACGTACAGCCTCCGATTTATCACCTAAATGTGAAAGTCAATATTAATAAAACAAACATGTAGACAAATAATATCATATTTATTACCTGCCTATTAATAAATTCTGTTTGTTCAAGATCAGTTACAGAGAGGACTCCATCAGAGGTAAAGATTTCACTTGATGAATACAATTCAGTGATGCTGTCCTACAGACAATAATTGCTTTTTGGGTATTCGAAACGCGTAATTCGTTTCAGATGCCAAATACCTTTGCAAACAGTTAACTTCTGTTTTGTTTTGAGATCCCAAAGGATGACATCTTCACAGACTGTCACAGCAACATAGCGGTGTTTCATCGACTTGATTCGTATAAAAATTGCGTGACCATCGGCGTTACTGACTGCTCCAAACGATGGTCCGGCCACAAAACGTAGGTACTGAGTTGTAACACCCATTGTAACAACTAGCACTTCTGGGGGTTGCTGTATCTTTCACGCACTAGAGCCCTAAACGCACCTTTGTTTGCACTGTAGGTAAAGCACAAAAAAAATACATGTACAGCAGTTAGAAGTAGCAATATTTCCATATACTTCAAGTCCTAGTATCAGAAGCATAACAATAAATTATTAACAAATGTAGACACACAGGTATTTTTTAAACCTAGTGAACATGCTGAACAATTTTTTTCTATACAGTGCAATTATGATGTCGTCATAAAATAAACATTGGCCTCCACAAAAAGCTAATTTACACATAGTCACATTAATTTTCTTTCCTTCCTGTCTTCTGTGAATATTATGTAGTATATCCGTGTACGTTTGTTAGTCAAAACAAACCCTTTAAACGACGCAAAATACGACATGTTCACCAATGGACCTAATGGCTTTCTTTTGCAGCATTCTGACTGACTGCATTACGCAAGTAAATTGCATTCTATCGACTTTCTGAAATCAGTTTTTCTACAGTTGAACTATATGGCTACCATATGTCAATAAATCTACGAATTATCACAACACAGAGTTTGTCGACAATTTCAAAGTGATCGTCACTGAACTTGAAGGTAGAGTTCCGTATGATTGAACGTATCATTATAATTTTTTTATTATCAACATTTATTACTGGTTAGTGCAATCGGTATGTGCCTCCCGGGAGTATTAGCGAATGTGAAACGTTTAACAGTCAGAAAATGGCTAACGTCTTAAGCACCTTTAACACAGAACACATGCACGTAACCCATATGCATTATCCACTCTCCTAGCGTGGGGTTCGTTTAAATCTGATCAACATTTAAGTAATTTCAAAAGTACGTTGGGTGTGTTCACCAATTGACTCAATTTTGCAGAAGTTTATTTCATAACACACATACCGGTACGCACGTGCTACAAACATAATAATAGAACCCATGTTATTTATTTTTATTAGAGCGTCTGCTTTATCGATCCGCGGGAGTCTTCAAAACTGCACTCATCATAAGTCAAATAACATGGCTTACAATTACATACAATTTCTAGTTAATTAAGATTTCTGCCGAAACATGTTAAATGTGTGTGTTTTGGCAAAAAATCAGCTCGTAACTAACTTGTTAGATAGGTTTAATAAATGATATGTTCCTTACTCGGCAGTAATATAATTGGAAGATTACGATACGATATGCAAAACGTTCTTCCTTTCAATTCCATCAACACAGTGTATATCAGTAATTTGTCTACAAATTCAGCAAATATTTGCGGTGCGCAACACCAAACAAACAGAAAAAAATATGGCTACTCATTATTCGCAGAAAAGTTGCGTCGTTTAAAAAAAGTAAGCTGTTATGTAGAAGCTATGCAAACGAATCAACTAAAGACCCTCCTGTCCGCCTCAATGAAAACACCGCTGGCGGCTGAAAGTGATTCGTGCGCTGAGCAGCAGAGAGCGAACGTAAACATAGACACCAAATTTCAATGCAGTTATTATAAGAGGTAAGAGCCAGTGCATGTGTTAGCATTTGGCTGGATGATCCCTGTAAAATGTGCATAGTATTCGTGCGCTTTTTCGACGTGTAATTGCAAGTTAATGAAAGAAGATGTCTTGCCGATTGTTGCAAATTCCCCGACCTATCGAACGGCACATGCTTCACTTGTTAGCCGGAAAAACTAAGGGGTCGTCGGCAACAATATCTCTGGGTAGTAGCTTCATCTCGCGCGGACGTTTGAGCGGAGAAGCGACCTCAGAGTTTGGTTACAAAAGTCGACCACCGTTAGCTCTCGTTCTAAATGAAGCCAAGTATAATTTTACAAGTTTACCGGGAATTCGGCGCTGGCAAAATCTATTTGCAACACAGAAACCACTACAACCCGACAAGGAGGTGCAAAAGGATGATGCGCGTGCATCTGATCCGAATCAGCAGAAAAGTCAAAACCAGCCACCGTGGCCTTTTGGGGCGGGACCTGGCGGCCCAGACGGGAAGAAAAATCCATTTAGCAAGCGACCGGGTGATGAGGGCTCCGACAAACTCATGCAGTATGCCCTTTTTGGCGCAGTGGCGTTAGTGAGCCTCCTGGCAATGAATGAAATGCGCTACAAGGAGATCAGTTGGAAGGAATTCATACAGCAATATCTGGCTAGGGGACTAGTCGAGAAGCTTGAAGTCATTAACAAGAAATGGGTGCGCGTTCGACTTCAGCCCGGCGCAAGTGCTGACTCGAGTATTCTTTGGTTTACCATTGGTTCAGTTGATTCGTTGGAGCGTAACTTGGAGAACGTGCAGCTGGAAATGAACATTGAGCCATCGAACCATGTTCCTGTAGTCTACAAACAAGAACTCGACAGCCTGAGCCTGTTCTCGCATTTACCTACCATACTTTTACTTGGTTTCATTATATGGTCATGGAGACGCGGCATAGGTGGTATAATGAGTGGTGGCAAATCGCGCGGCGGCATCTTTGGCATTGGTGAAAGTACAGCGAAGCTCATAAATCCAGCTGATATCGGAGTAAAGTTTCGGGATGTGGCTGGCTGTGAGGAAGCCAAGCTGGAAATTATGGAATTTGTAAACTTTTTGAAGAACCCTCAGCAATACATTGATCTTGGTGCCAAGATCCCAAAAGGCGCAATGCTCACCGGTCCTCCCGGAACCGGCAAAACCCTTCTTGCGAAGGCCACAGCCGGTGAAGCTAATGTGCCATTCCTGTCTGTGTCCGGATCAGAGTTTCTTGAAATGTTCGTCGGCGTTGGCCCATCTCGAGTTCGTGACATGTTTGCCATGGCACGGAAAAACGCCCCATGCATATTGTTCATTGATGAAATTGACGCCGTTGGTCGAAAGCGTAGTGGACGCAACTTCGGTGGACATGCTGAGCAGGAGAATACGCTAAACCAACTCCTAGTCGAAATGGACGGCTTCAACACGACAACAAATGTCGTTGTTCTGGCAGCCACCAATCGGATGGATATCTTAGATAAGGCTTTGCTGCGTCCAGGTAGGTTTGACCGACAAATATTCGTCTCCGCTCCAGACATTAAGGGGCGTGCCAGCATCTTTAAAGTACACTTACAGAAACTAAAGACGAATCTTGACAAGAACGACCTATCAAGAAAAATGGCGGCTCTAACTCCCGGTTTCACAGGTGCGGACATTGCTAACGTTTGCAATGAAGCCGCACTGATCGCCGCGCGTGACCTTTCCGAGAGTATTGAGATGAAGCACTTTGAACAGGCAATCGAACGAGTGGTAGCCGGAATGGAGAAGAAAACTAATGTACTGCAACCCGATGAAAAGAAAACGGTCGCGTTTCACGAGGCTGGACATGCTGTGGCTGGCTGGTTTCTACAACACGCCGATCCTTTACTTAAAGTAATAATTTTTTTATTTTCGCTGTTCTACATAATTTTTCAAGAACTAAGCATGAGCATTTATATGTAAGTGCACCTCCGATTCTAATGAATCTGTTCGATTTACTGCTCACTGCAATAACTAATTACACATTTAAAGTCAGTTCTGACAATTTTTTTTAACTGAAGCTCTAGAGGAATTAAAATGTTCTACATATGCAGACTGTTGTCGAAAATTAAATCAAGTAAATCGATCAAACCAAATCCAATGCAAGCCAATTTGTGAAGGAGTTTCGAGATAAATAGTCTTATTTGTCTGACAGCGAATCTGCAGCTCTCAGGATGAGTTCGATCTTGACTTGGCGCCAATATCCGATTCGGGGTTGTTATATATTTTTTTGTGGATTGATTTATTTTTTTCAAGGTTTCAATAATCCCTCGCGGTAAGGGACTTGGCTATGCCCAGTATCTACCGAAAGAGCAGTACCTTTACACAACGGAGCAGCTGTTTGACCGTATGTGCATGACTCTCGGTGGCCGCGTCAGCGAGCAGATATTCTTCAACAAGATCACCACTGGCGCTCAGGATGATCTCCAGAAGGTTAAAATTAAACAACGTGAAATACACAATAAACCTTATATAAAGCTCTCTCAATAAATATCAATTATGAATCGTACAATTTGTATACTATAGTATATTCCTCTAACTTTACTATGATATCGACAAAAAGTACATGACTTGTGTACAACACTGTTTTAATTACTGTGATACCTGCATAGATATTTCCAATTCTTTCGATATATGGACTTTCTGGGTTGATTCGTCTGCTCCTGATACATCGTTTGTAGAGTTCCCTCAAGATTCTGTTCTAATCCCATAGCACAATCTCCAGGTGACAAAGAGTGCCTACGCCCAGGTAGTCCAGTTTGGTATGAATCCCAAGGTTGGTAATCTATCGTTTGAAATGCCTCAGTCTGGAGACATGGTTCTGGAAAAACCTTACTCTGAAGAGACGGCGCAACTTATTGACTCCGAGGTTCGGATTCTTGTCAAACGAGCCTACGACACGACAATGGAACTACTTACCAAGCACAAAGCTGATGTCGAAAAGGTGATTTACCAAATCAGATTATCTACTGAGAATCATAATGTGTTCTATTTATGTAAGGACAAGACATTATACTGATAATCTATACATCGATGATAATGCTTGACTGATTTTTACATAGATCCTCAAGTCCAGCAAAGCATAGGTTCAGCTATAATTCATTGAGAATAGCTATACTGCTTTTAATCTAAAATTATAGTCGAACCAAGCATGCATTAAATCTACATTTGTCTAAAATAGTAACTGAGGCACAAACCCGTCAAGTCAACTAAAACGTCCTGCTTGCTATTACTATCTAGCTGGGTTTGATATAACGTGCTATATACTTGTCTGTTGGGATCTGTCTAATCATTCATCCTATATATTTGTTCTAGGTGGCTCAGCGGCTCCTTGCCAAGGAGATCTTAAATCGTGAGGACATGATTGAACTTCTCGGAAAGCGGCCTTTCCCAGAGAAGTCTACGTACGAGGAGTTCGTTGCGGGAACCGGTTCGTTTGAGGAAGACACCACGTTACCGAAGGGCCTCGAGAATTGGAACAAGCCCCAGGACAATGCAAAGGGTGCCGAGATAAAGCTTGGCCAAAATGCGGCCGAAAGTAATACGCAAGCGGATTCAAAAAAATTAACAGATAAAAAAAAACAGGGAGGGGACAAGAGTCAATCGTAGAACTGAGTTATTTGTAGCAATTGGGATTTTAACTTAACGTAAATAATTATAATGAGGAATTATGATGTTGCATTGTAAGTTGTTGCGAAAAGACGCAGTTATGTACTGATGCGGGTAGATGCGAGAGTGGCAAGTGGCTTTCTGGATGGTGATGTATCAAAAAAATAAACTGTTTCTTATAAGTATATTTAAACAATAGCACCTTGAATATGTGTTTTATTTGAGACTGAAAGCACTATAGGTATTAGAGCTGTTTCGAAATTTATTTTTCGCTAAGATTCATCGGGTTTCTGCCATTTGACGTAAGCAAAGAAGTCTGTATGCGTAATCTTCCACGTTCTTTACAACCACACAATATTTATGGAAAATGCTTATTTTCTAAAGCAAAAACGACTAGTTGACAAAGTGGGAAGAACAACTCGGACTGTGATATTTTTGTTAGATACACAACGCAATTTTGTTAAAAGTGATGAGGTAGCAAAATCGGGAGAACTCGGTCCCTTGAGGTGAATACCCTCTTTGTTACTGCAGATGCTTTTTTATGTTTTGAATCGTACTAATTCTTACTTAAAGTGCGTGCGTAGAAGTATGCTACCTGGGTATAAATTCACACGAAATATATATCTTTGTTAAACGTTACGCACATAAACATGTTTCAGATTTCAGAACTTCCGTCAACAGGTTCAATGACATTGTCTTAAAAAGGATTGATTTAGTCTCAGATGGCATGCAGTTCGTTTAAGTATATTGTAATCACATGATTCAGCTCCCAACTATTCCGAATACTCAAGCGAGTAGATAAACCTTTTATTTCGTATACAATACTGCACACTATATACAGCAAGCACTGGTATATAGCGCAGCACTGAAGAAAACTAGAACTTAGCATTCAGTTGAATTTAAGTTAAATAAAATATCGCGCTTTTCGCTCTTGAGTGGGTACATCAGCAGCTGAATTGATTGGACTGATGTGTAACAAATTATCGGTGCATTTGGGCGCGTGCTACACGCTCAAATAATTGATTCCATCATGCACCATGATTTTCAAGAACTATTGGAGGTCATTTAATACATGGTGTGCACATTGCCAACGCATAATTTAACTTGTTTTAATTTCGCATTCAATCTACCAGCCGTTTTGCCTAAGAAACATCGTTACCTGCAGGGCTAACAATTAGCTGGCGCTTGAAAATAAAACACGACAGCTGCGTGAAGTACTGGTGAGTAAGACTCGCGTGATGTTTGGGAACGACGTAACATTCTTGTCCGACTTCTGCAGTACAACGATAAATGTCTACAGGTAAAAAATCTACAGATTTCCGTGTTTTGTATATATCGCATGTGACTTTCTCCCCGAATTAAGCATCTTTTTGGAAATGTGTGAAGCTACATAATACAAGGTGTGAAACTATGATTGAAAAAAGTGTCCTTTGTAAGCGCGAACATGTTGATCGGAATTGTCACCTCCTATAATGTTTATCATTTTCAAAACTAGCTTTTTTTTTATTAAAAAATGAATTGAAAGATCCGTTATTTAATTATATAAGCTTGAATCTGATCTAAGTTCATGTTGTCGTGAGTTCGCTTTAAGCTAAAATAGAAGATCGCTATTAATATTGTTTATATGAATAACCTGTCTTTTATGACCGAATGACCAGGTTATTGAAATGAGGACGGCTAATTTAATCTTCCTTTTCACGAGCTAAAACCTAAAAATCCTAAAGTAAACAAGACTGCCCAACTGGTGCGAAACTACTGGTAGTACATCTAGTGGAACGCTTACATCAGTTGCCTAACATACATTACTGGTGTATGGAGCATGACTCATCTCCCTTTTCAATTACAACATTTTCTACTAAGACCACTTCATTATTCTACGTAAGGGACACCAAAAAATAAGCTAACCAAAAAAATAAAATCAAATTGGGGTAAATAAATGTATTTCTTTGAAGATGTCACCTTGTTGTCATTCCCAGGTTGACTAATGATTTTGTATATATATACTGTTGTAAAAACGTTGCCTGGCTTACTATATAATGCGCTAATAATTTTTTTATCCGTTTACTGAAAACGAAAGAAGATTGTTTTAAAAGAGAAAAATTCATATGTCTACGAAGATCCAAAGCAGAACATAGGCACTATTAAATTAAAATATTGATCAATCAATAAACACCGTTTCACATACCGGGACACATTTCCGAAGCATGTTGGCATTCTATTCCAGCAGTCGGGTACGCCCGCATCCTGCGATTCAGTATAGTTTAACGGATGGCTGTCGTCAATGGCAATCGCCCGCGCTGCGGCACAGCCCGTCACGAGAGCCAGCAATGTATCTGGCATTGCCCATATAACGGAACTTGAAAACTGAGAGGGCTAGATGTTTCCGGTAGGCTTGGGCTCACTCTATTTCTATTTCTATAACTATTTCTGCTAACGTTACGCTATGCTATTTATTATACCAAAAAGAACTATAATATATTATATCTACCAAAGCATGCATCAATAAGCGTTTTTTAGATGAAAGAGTGGCTTCATACGGCAACAAAAAATGTTTTAATTATTTTGAGAAAAGGACACTAACATACAGAATATACACTACTCTACGTTCCACTTCGTCATCGCCATAAATCACGAGCAAACGAGTAAGTGTGCACCCCACAACGGCTCTAACTAGAACGTAATCTGTATACGTTGACTGTCGTCTCCTACGATTTTCGTTCTGTGTTAACAGCACTTGTCCATAGTATACTGTTCTCTTCACAAGTTTAATCCACTGAATGCCCAACTCCGTGGTCGATCATACGGTTAGCAAGGAGGTGCCCTATATTCGAATATGCTACCCGAATAGAACCGTGACTACATAAACATGCAGAAGCTTTATTACAATATCGAAGTCGTTCTGGTTACCATTCTGCACCTCTGGTCCTTGCCTTTGATGCCTTTTCCATCATCACATAGAACGCGATTGGTCACCTACAACGGCATCATATCTAATCGTCCAATCTAATCATTATGTACAAACCATCGTTGCCATTGCAAACGCTTTTACACGTTTTCCTTATGTCAACTGGATATAAAGACTATGCGTTGATGTAAATGAGACTGAGAAGGATTTCCTCTTCACCGTGCCTACTACACTTGTACTTTTTTTTAGCCGTCCCAATTTTTTTCACGGCTAATGATTTACAAAAAAGAACTTCCCCAAAAGTACAATGTAGATCCGTTGATAGCTTGTTCGTACTTCGAATGAACAAAGTGCTCAGCGAAATGCGACGCTGATATATATGGCATTGGTCTTGTCTCTTTTTGCCGATTTTCTGTCGAATTGTCTGGGCAACAACAGGAAATCATACGATACAGTGACGACCACTAATGGCCATGTGGGACAGCAACTGAAGATGAAATACGATAGTCTTGTTGAAGACACTTAAGTGGATATTGGACGATTAACGCAGCGTAATGCCGAGGACGAAAATTATTCAAATTCTCTGTCATATCGTCGTTGTTGTCTACCTTTAAGTTGTTGATTCCACTTGACTTCATATATATTAAAAAATTATAACAGCAATAATAAATCACTACCACAAAAAAACTATTATAACTACAAAGAATACAAATTATTGTTGAAAAACCGCTAATATTTTCGACCGTTGCAGATTTACTGATATATCATATTTATTTACAATTTACACAATCGCACTTTTACTGACAGGCAATCAGTACAGGCCGTTTTATATATCTGTGCCTGAAAGAGTTGTTATTTAATTGTGCGAGTTATTTTACATATACACGAGAATATTCACATAGTTACGCTGATACCTTTATCCTAGATATTTTTCATAAACCATACTATAAAGGGTTATTTTTATAGTTCCGATAAATCAATGTCCAATTAATTCGAAAAGTTGACATTAATTCAAGTATCTATCTTAACTTATTACCTGTTTTCTTATAATATACTAATATATCTTATATAATATAATAACCAGTGATCGAGGTATGTTAATAAACGTACAACAGATTTTCATAACCTTCGTCGGCATTTGCCTAAGTTACAAATATTTCTAATGTACAAGTGTACAACAGGTATGTGCCTTATTAAATGAGATAATCACTAGAGTCTAACTAAATCATTGTTATCGGGTGCCGATACGCGAAATATAATTTACTATTATATGTCACTATAGTATCTCTCCAGAATATGCTCAACGAAAAGCCTACTACTATATTGTACCGACACACATATATATATGTGTGTCGGTACAATATAGTAGTAGGCTTTTTGTTATATATATATATATTCTATATATATAGTATGCTTCCTCTCAAACAAATTAGTGTATCACAACAGTCTTCAAGCTACCAGTCTTAAAAAAAAGCGAAACGTTTTGAAACCTATCAAAAAAACCAATATGTTAAGCGAAATCAATGTCAATTGAACCCATTTATATTTTTTCTTATATACACATTTTTAGGTCAGAAACTCAGGAACTTAAATTATTACGTTTAGTAATTTTGAGCAGATTACCTCTGTTTTCTCAACTCGGCGTAAAATATATAATACCTTTCTTTACTCATCGACATGTTCGCCTCTAAATATATCCTATTAGATGAAACAATGATTGATGCCACCCAAGGTATTTGTTTTGTCCTTTCTTCTACGAATCAGCCCTCGGAGACATTCTCGAATATCTATTTGTCCTGAGAATATTTTGTGCATCTATTCGTTATCGCTTTCTGTAATCGATACAGCTGTAGAATCTATTTAAACGAGGTATTATAAGCTTGTTACTCTCTTGCAGTCGGCCAACTGAAGCTAGGTTAATCAACTGGTTACTTCAGATTTTCTAGCCTGTGGTACCATCTGTAGATATCTGAAAAAGTTTATAGGTCTTAAGACACCGGCATTTTTTAATCCTTTTCATTGCCGTCTTTGTTCTTTTTCTTGTCCTTGATCGTGTATTTGTCATAGCACTTTGTTGGGTCGTAAGGCTCCCATCGCGAGGCAGGAAATATGTGCTTATTCCGTTCATACCAACTTCGTAACAAAACTTTTCCCGCGTGACTTTCTTCTTTTTCTTTCGATGCATCCGATGTCATACGAATATCTTCATTAGCATCGAACGCAAATAAAGGACCCGACTTTCCTCGAGCCTAAATAAAGAGAAAAAACTAGTTAGTTGTAATGGTACACAGATACCTTGTTTCTATTTTAAATTTAACTACGAACATGCAGCTGAAATAACCTTGTTTTCAGCCTTGCAATTTTCATCAGACAAAAATTTTAACTACTATAAAATGCGCCCTAAAAAATCCTTCTGTGCGATTTACTTACTTTGGTCACGATGAAGTCATAAAATGTGTAGTGGTGCGGTATGATTAAATCCTCCTTAATGTACATAAGTTGGTCTGCGGAAACAACTCGCAGTTCGTAAAATTCCTTACGGAGTGAGTCGAGACATCGTTGTAAGAACTGGTAAATTGAATTGCCCTTTTTCATGTCGACCACACGACGATGCCCCGAGCCATCCCAGTAACTGAACGTGATCTGGATGTTCTCTTCTTTAAGAGCTCGCTGTCTGTCTTTCCATTCCTGGCGTAGCTCTTCGCGAATCATTCGCTCCTTTTCCTCGCGTTCGCGATCAGGCAAAAAAGAAGTATCGACGTCTGGGTTTTTCTTCACTTTAATCTCTGTAATTAAAACCTTTGATTCTTTGTTTAGTCTTGAATCTTTAAGGCCAGCATCATTATCATGACTATCATCACCACTACTCTGGTTACTCCCGTTGACATTGGTTACCGAGATACCGGCAGCTGAAGAACTTGAGTTCTCTGGACTGCGGCTAGCGCCTGGGAAACATTTACTAGCGCCATCTGATTTGCATTTGTCATAAACTTCGCCGTTCTCCTCCTCTACTTCGTCGTCTTCGTCGAGATTGAATGACAGCGCTTGAATCTGTCGGACAGATGTGAAAGCATAGTACAACCAAATATGAAAAAATGCCATTGGTTTTAGCTATAGCCAAACGCTTTGTATATCTACTAAGTGGTCCCAGCAAAGGTAACAAGATCTCAGTCACCGACATCTACTCAAACCTGTCGCCGATTAAGACAAATCTCCGTCATTTAGCACTCGTATAAGTCCGCGCGAATCAATTCATGCAGGGACGACATCCGCACTTCCATGGAAGGACTACAAAAATGTTATTATAGAGGTAAAGGCAAAGTGATCTATAAAAATAATAAATAGTCGTTGAGGAGAAAACATCTAATTGATACTTAACCTTGCGGGATTTTAAATAAACGCAACAAAGTTATTAACACAATACATACTGCTTTTTTTTGCTTCTCCTTTTGTGCCTTCTTTTGGTCTTCGGCACGCTGTTTTTCTTCCAGCTTCTCCTTTTCCTTTTGTGCTAAACGTTTCTCGCGCTCCTTCACTGCGTCCTGTTGCTTTGCCTGCAGAGCAGATACGCGAATACATGTAACAGCTCTGGTTAGATGTGTACTAACCCGTATGCAGAATTTTGCCAGCGAAAAATGCCTTGGAGTAAAAGAACTTTTACTACATAGAAAATAGTGCACGAGAACAAGAACGACACTTTTGTTTATCGAAAAAAAAATTTGCAACAAACCTTCATTTCATTAAGTGTGACCAAACCGACGGTTGCGCTTTTAATTTGCGCCTCGACGGCATCAAAGTGCGATGAAAATTTGTCACCCATTGAAACACGCATTTCTTGCTCGATTTTCTGTCGTTTCAGCTCAACTTCTTCCTTTTGCCGTTCACGACGTTTAAGGATTTGCATCGCTCGACCAGCCTCACTGGCCGCACCTTTATACTGTGCCATTTTCACTCTTTCACTGCAGGATGTCCTCAAATTACTTGAATAATGGGCACAATAAACGAGCTGGTAAATGAACTGGAATAGCAGTTTTACTGCAGCAGATATTATAGTTAGTTATGTCCTATATAAAGCAAATCTGAATCTTCTCAAATAATGTGTTTGAATTAGATAGCACTAATATATAAAGACGCATAATGTTGTGCATTTTACCTAGTTACAAGAATACTAAATTACTACACAACTGTGAGTTTCGGGCTGCCACGAATCGTAAGGGGTAAAGCTATAGCCGAAAAATACTTTCATATTTTATATTATTATTCAGTTTTTTGATTTTCTAATAAAAAAAAAACGGAGTAGCAATGCAAAATTGAAAATCCAAACCGGAAAAACAGACAGTTTTGCAGAAATGCAGCTTTCTATTACTGAGGAGAGCTGCCTTTAGATCCAACTTCTAGCCAAACCCATTAGGTAATTTGTGTAAGGTTAGCTTTCGACATAAAACGTAATAGCTAATATCTTGTTAACTCAGCTAAGTTTGTTCTAGAATCTCATAGCGCAAATTCACTCATAGATAAGCGATCGATTCATAACACACTGCAAAACATGTAACTCATGGCAAAAAAAGAGGGGATACAAACATACTTCGCGAAGATTTGTCGTCGCTGCTATAGTATCTTCTAAACTTTCCAAAAAGCAGATTGAGATTAACGACTATAAAAATCTTGATTGTTCTATTTTCAACATGAGTTTTGTCTGCAACGCTGCTGATTTTCATTCAACAACAACAACAACTTCAATCTCCCAGAGTCGTCTGCTATTGGTAGTAATCAAAATAAAACACAAATTGTTTTCGCACGGCCGGTTAGCATGGCCTCGGTCTTAAGACATGCGCTAAATTCAGGGGTGCGCGCATTACGTACCTCCACATCAGCTCGTTCGCTGGCGGGAGGCGCTCGATCACTTCCGCCCCACTTGCAAAAGTTGCTTGACTATGGTGAAATGTACCCTGATCTGCTACCAGACCCTAATATCGAGCACCGACATTCTTTAGCCGAAAGCCTGGAACGTAAGGATATGCTGAAAAGGTTCATAGGCCAAATCTTTTCTTATTGAACGAGTTGAATAAGCTTAACGTATGGTAGTGCACTAAGCTCGATGCAACACGTTTTACTGGCTTAACTTGAAAAATAACACGAATGGATGGGTATATATGTTAACCTTCCATACAGCAATATATATTTATGTACTTATGTAAAGTCATCATAGTCTGTCCAAGGACTTAACATTAAATTAGAAGCATATTTATAAAGCCATGTTGCTATCTTTTTGCTATGTTTTTTTAAACGCCGCGATGTCTGTTAGCCGAAGCATTGGATAATACCTCACATTTAATATAAAATAGTTTTCTATAACTTGAAAACATTTTCAGTAAGAGTTTTTTTTTTGAGTCGTCTAATTCATTCCTTCTTTAAATGAATTTTCACTTGTTGCTCAATTTCAATACATTCTATTCGCAATCGTGTTTTCATATACTTTTTCTATACTAAAGATCGAGCGTAAAAATTTAGGCAAATTCTAACTGGTTATCTGATGTATTACAGGCGTAGCGTGCTGGATATTCCCGAGTTTTATGTAGGCACATTTATGTCTATTATGGTCACCGACAAAAATGCGCCTGGAAAAAAGAACAAGTTTGTTGGAATCTGTATTAAAAGGTAGTCTATTATCGTTTTTAAATATCCGTCTCGCATACTTTTTGGTATTTTCAAAGTTTTTAATAACTTCTCGAAAATTAGTGTTCGTCAGGTCAGCTCGTCGGTATCTTTCAAGTCATTCAATCAAAGTTCTATAAAACAAAAACTTTTAGACAGAGAAAAAGCTTTACTTTAATTAACTTACCAACATATTTTCGTATAGAGCTTCTTTACAGTAAATGCGTAACAAATATATTAAATTTTCTGCAGAGAAGGCCACGGATTGCGTCACCGTGTGACGTTACGAAACATCGTTGAAAATGAGGGAGTCGAGCTCATGTACGATCTCTATTCGCCAATAATACTTGAAATACAGGTGCTTCGGCTGCAGAAGCGACTTGACAAAAATCTTTTATATCTTAGGTAAGTAGTGAAGAAAAACGTATAATATCAGTAGGCTATAGAGTAAGGCTTACTCCCATGAATGGTAAAGTCCAGTTGACCATGTAACACTTTACGTAATGAAAGGGTGCTATGCATTATTCAAACATAATTCGTCCGCTATAGTGTGTGATAATAAGTTCTGCCGATGAACGTAGCTAGGTACTTCTCACTGTACTTAGTTTCTTTAAGCGCACTTGAGATAATGTACATCTCGAAGTAAACGCGCAAAAATTGAATGCAAAACTCTAAAGGGAGCAAACCATTTATGCATACCTCAGTATGCACTAGATGAGTAAGACTGTTGTTACTTTGTTCTTTAGCGGCATTTTTATCCTATCAAGTGTTCTCTTTATCATAATGAATTATTATTGTTTGATTAACGGTATTCGCTTTCATACTATTGTTATTGTTGTCGATTATCAGAGATGCACTCCCAGAGTACTCGATGGTGCCATGGGACATGGAGCCCGAACAGCATTCGGAAGGAAGGCCTGTACCGATCGATGAAACGAAGGTCATTATGAAGCCTTTGCCCTGGACGCAAAAATGGGAGCGCAAAGAGCTTAAAGGTACAAAGCTAATCATCTGTCTATTCCCATCCGACGTTTAAATGTTTTTCAGTCAAGTGCGTAATCTATCTAAATATGATATTAAAAATAAATAACAGAATGGCAGAGAAACAATATAATATATAATACGCGAAATGGGACAATAGCATGTTACATCGTCCGCAAGCAGACAAACATCGTAAGTAGACCCGACTATACATAGAGTAGATAATGGATATCCGTGTATTTGTGATAGTGTAGTAGTAACGTGTTTGTCACCTAAACTAATGGACTCGTAAAGTGGTAAAACGTAGGCAAACTTCCTTTCATATTCGTAAAAGGCAACCGTCCGAAATAATATATAACTGTTTAAGCACCAAAAGTGAATTTAGCAGCTATTTCAGTTATTTAATTAACACCCTACAAAATACCATTCATTGCATAAAATTTCTCTTGATTTTGGAACTGGTTTTCCAACAATATTTTAAGGCATAATTATACCATTCGACATACCTGAAAAGCGCGCTAAAAGAGGTGTGGAAATTTCCAAACCTTGGGAGAAATATGACTTGATGAAGGATTATCGCTCGCAAATATCTATCGAAGACCAGGCTGTTGTCTGGAATGAAGTAGAACAACACCGAAGAACGGTTGAGGAGCAGCACAAAAGAAACCGAAGAAGAAAGCTACTGGAGACGCAGGGCTTGTCGCAGACCTAGGTTCTGTAACGCGTGCAGAACTTACTAGGAGGTTGAAGCTAAGAAAAGTCTCAAATAAACACAATGTAATTTGGTGTCGGCCAAGACGACTACTGTATAGAAAAATAGGTTCAGTAGATTATTTTACCTTGTACTTGGTTTTAATATACTGTAAATGCGAATATTTAGCAGCCTTTTATAAATAAATTTGGACTAGTGCGCGATTTTTCCTGTTGTTTGAATATATATATACACGATAAGGCACAGACCTTATGTTAAAACAAGAAAAAAATTTAGACATGCATGCGATTTGCTCTGTAGAACTATCATGTGCGCTGTCTTTCTTGCGCACCTTTATTGCATTATTATCAGAACAAGCTTACGATTGGTTTAAAAATAGGCGAAATGATTTCGAGGTAAGGTCTCGGGCAAATGTGCACGTCGATCTCGGCAATCGGACTGTCGATGTAGCCAGTTACTTTTCGTAATTGGCTAGACACAATATGTTCAAAGATATTACGCAAATCATTTTTGGCTACATTTGGCTGACGCTCCGCTAAGATAGTGGTACGCGTATCATTAAGCTTCGAGTCTTCGGCGATGGAAATTTTTGTATGTTCTAGATGCATCCTAATAGAAGTGATGCCGTTTAAAGGTCGATATTAGATAGAAAAGTTGAATGGTTATGATGAAGGAAATATCTTTGAGTGATACAAGATGAAAGGCTAAGACAACCAATTAAAAAATATCCGCGTTTTCAATCTCAATGTAGAGGTTTTCTGTTATATATATATATATAGTGGCCTAGGTATCTTTTTTTCTACCGAGAACTTAGCATATTTGTTAAAACCTATTACATACCGATTCGTTACAAATTTAGAATGACATTTGAACAGCTGAAAATAACATATAAATGTGAATAAATGAAAATAAATGTGTTGGTATATTTACTGTTGTATTTAGTACGTATGCAGAGGGTTTTCTCCGAAAAGTGTCTAATCTATTAAATTTTATAAATACGATACATCACTTAGCTTAGATAAAGTATATATTGCCTTAGATAATTTTTGCGTTTTTCTTCTGTGTATTTCAAAATAGTATGACAAAATAGTATGTTAAGGCTAAATGCGTGAGCGAAGAACTAGCTAAATTTGACCTATGGTGATCGCTGTTTAATACCTCTTTACGTAATGAGAAGATATTCGTTTGGTTCTAATAACAGTTTTTGGTAAATTCCAATAAAAATTCCTTAGTCAAAATGCTTAATATGTCATAATTCGTGTTTGAAGATCGACAGCACTATAATGAAAATAATCAGATCACTATTATTGTAATTACAAGAAAAACTATTTTTTCTCGTACAAGTAGTGCGACCTTATCGATGTTTATAGTGGTGCCTTGTCGCGCAAATACGACGCCGCTTGCGCTTCGCTGTAATGTGTAAACTACAATCAGCTGATTTCCTGCCGCTGCCATGAGCGCTGTCGAAAAGACTGCGCTTAGACATATTTTCTTAATATTAATAATTAATAAGTTAAGTAAGCACGTTTTTAAGGTAGAATGCAAGTAATTGCTAAAAGAGCGTCCTCGAGATTTTATTTGTGGTGGCAAAGATGCTTGTAAGTAAGCTTGCAACTAAATTAGCGAACAGAAATAAGCTCAAAATGATGTAACTTGTCTGCGTACTGTTAGATTGCTGGTTGCTTCAAAAAATGCTACCTTCTCAAAGATAAGTTAGCTTATACCAATAGAGGAAATTAGTTTAGGTTTAAGTTTTAGTATTTCTCGCTTGTTGCAAAGCATAGTATGTTTGGTGTTTTTAGTTTTCTGTAGAGGTTTTATTGAAAAGCTTTCGAACATGTGGCACTGGATCAGCTATGTTTTTCATTGTAGTTAGTGTTCTGACAGACATAACGATGCCGATATAAGAGGCATAACTAGCTACTGTGCATGAAAAATTTGTGCGTAAAAGTTGAGTACTTACAAAGGATTAAACACATTGATTTAATTTCAGAAGTAGCAACTCTCACAAAAGTGACCATGGTGCCCCCAAGAAGCCCGTGTTGACGTTGTTTACAAAGGACGTCTGTCCTCTTTGTGAGAAGGCGAAACTTGAAATTGCGGATTTTTTACCCCATGTGGAGTTTCAAATAGTGGATATAGAAAAGGATCCGGAACTCTATAGTAAATACAAGTGCGTTTTCTGCCATGACTAGCAGTGTTATTTTTCGCTGTATGCTTTATTTTCTATTGGTTTCTGTCATTGCAACTGCCACTGCACTATTTCGAAGTACCTAATTTCAGAAATGATGCAAATTAGTTTGTCTTCTTTGTTTTATCGACTCGAAAAATTATTCATTTTACATTGCTGATACTTTTCACATTTCTTAGTTTATAGCTTTTTTTTTTGGTTCAAAAAACGTTTCTGTTTGCGATGGAACGGTAGGGCGTAGATGTTGAAGGTGGTGCAGTGCTCTCGGTCAAATCGATATCAGCGATGATACGGTTTAGGCTTTCTTGATAGCTCTCGAAATATGTACTTCATAACAAAATAGAAGCTCCATTTTGAGTATCTGCATTGTATATCTGGGTCCACATTAGCTTGTTTCCCAGAATCCAACACGTGACAAGTAATCATTTTCATGCCTTTTCTTCCGTTCATGATAGATAAACATACAAAGTCACAGCCATCTGTCGCCACTGAAAACCTACTGCTTGCTTACAGGTACGATATACCAGTGTTCCATTTAAATGGCAAGTTCCTGTTCAAACACAGAGCGAATAAGGAAGTCCTTGGTAAAGCGCTGCGCGCTCTATCGGCTGTGTAATGTTATGGCAGTTTTGGATTACTCATAAAAAATACGTTTGGCAAAAAGGTGACTAGTGATGGCGATGATGACAGCGATGCTGTGTGGCTATGTTTTTTTTTGCAGATTGTTTGAATACAGCGAATAAACGTTTTTTGTTTGATTTATAGTTATCCGATTCATTACTCAAATAGAAATAAACGTAGTTATTTCTGTGTCGCGTCTTTTGTACGGATTATCGTATTATTATTACATGGTCGCTTAGGTTAGGACTAGGTTCGAGCCGAAACTAATATACGGTCAAAGTCAAAAATATAATCTAAACGAGCCTAATGATCGGCATATGGTTCAATCATTTTTTTTTAAAGAGTATATTACTCTTAATATTGTATATACAGGAAGAGATTTATTTCAATGGAGTGTAGACAACGATACAACCACGCACATGAAACTTCAGCTACATAAAGGCATATCAGTATGGCAAGTAGGGTGCATGACATCACGCTTTTCAGCTTTGCGCAATAGTCGAGTCAATTCTAAGTGGCCTGTACAGTGGTTAAGAATTGTCCTCTAAAAAATAACAAAGTTCTCGATTCTTTTTTCCTTACTTATCGCAACTGGTTTGAAATTAAAATAACAAACATTTAAAGAAATAAAATCGTTAGAAGTTATCACACATTTAGTACACATTATGTGGGCTGAAGCTTCGTCCTCTCTGAGGCTCTATAGTTTGAGGTAAATGCTGGTTAACAATACATGCGACTCTCAAAGTAGGTATGAGCTTTTCCTTATTTCTTGTAGCACCACAGAATGTGGTTCACACTAGTGTCTGAGCTATTTTTAAATCTAAATTGTTTTTATTAGCAGTGTCTAATAGGTATATGTCCCGTACAAAGGACATGACCTATGCAAACCATTAACATATGGTCATATATCTATCTGCTTTGACTTTAAGTCGAAGTTCAATTTTATAGGGCAAAATTGCTCTTGTCGGAGGATACTTCCTAAGTTGCTTGCTCAAAAGAGCTTTTTACCTCTGAAAAGTATGAACGGTTTTACGTCGATTATATGGAAATGTAGCAAAATAACTGCATTAACTCATCATCACTATGTCAAAAAAAGGTTCATTTTCTATGGACCCATGAAACTTTTCAAGATAACCTTTCAAAGATGGTCTAGCTATACAAAAATAATAGCAATATTTTAAAAGCGATAATATTTATGCTTCGAACTTTCAACAAATTGTAATATTTTCGCAGTGTACTATATTTATATAAATCTGCTAGTATGTTACAAGCAAGCTACGATTCTGAGTATCGTACTTTTCGTATCGTACCTAATGCCTGTAGCCGTTAGGTACGATAAAACAGAATACTGGATGCTAAGTTTGGACCATTGCTTATCAATTCATCTATAGTTTGTACATATAGCGGATGCATGGAACGAGTCTACTATAATATTGTTATTTGTTGTGTGTTCAGATGACACGTAGTTATCATTCGGCTATTTTTTTTATCACTTCGATTCATCTTACAAAGGCAAAAAAATGCGACAAGTGCCTGTACAGATGTGGTGCAACTGCGCGTCCAAGCCGGCTCGGAATAATCTCGCTACCTGAAATATTCGATGTTATTTCAGATGTCAGTTATAGTCGCTCTATGTTTTGACGTGTTCGGACGGTTTAGCCGTAAAACACCGTTACAGCTTTACTTGCTAAGCGCGAATGTATCTAAGAATATATATTGTATAGCCAGAGCAAGCGCTAGTTAAAGAGGGATTTTTAGGCTCGAGGCTAGACAAGTTTACGCCGAAACCGTACTAGATAAACAGATGAAAACTTAGGGACGCGTTGTAGTCTAGGTTAGAATCCGAACATAGGCATACGCTTCGTTTTATGCTGGGAGCCAGCTGGCTGTCTGATGAAATGCTTAATGGCGATACTGAGCATAAAACTCAGAGAGATGGAACAGGTGGATGAGGTGTATTTCGTTGTTTGTGGCATTGGTGACGACGAGGGCTAGTACTAGTCGTCAGAGTAGTTGTGCTGCTTTAATTCCGCGCCCCTTTAATTGGGTAGATGGTGTCCACCGTCTTCTCTGAAGTTTTAAAGCACAAGATATATGTGGTAATTTAGCACAACCGCCCCAGTGTCATTTCACAATGCCGAGGTTTGTCAAACGTGCCGCTAATGGGCAGTATCGGAAGTATTCAAAATTTTGCGAAAATCGACAAGTCCACTCGGAGCTTTCGGAGCACTGATCGATTCCGTTGTTGGCTATGCTAAACGACACCGACAGCAGTTTTAATTAAGGAAATGTTTACAAGATAAGAAACACAATTTTGTACATATTGCTGCCTGTACAGCATGTATGTGACAAACGATGATGCAGGTATGTCGAAATTCTACGGAGCTTTGATGGCCGCGTTAGACGAGGACCATCAATTAGATAATTGAATTTTCGATTATCTAAATCTTAGGCATAAATCTGCGATGTAATTTTTATCAGGATGATCAATTATGTTACGGTAGACTAAATGTGCCACTCCCAAGTTGCTTGGGAGATGCTTCAATGTGTTTGTCTATTGATTATTCCAACTCAAAATTTAGGTAATGCTTGTAAGCGAATGTATACGCGTCGTGAGACCGAAACAGCCATAGAGAATCAAAATTTCTAAACGGTTGGTTCATTTAGACAATGGACATATTCTCTATGTCCATATTTTCAGTTATTTGAGTTGATATAATTGTAACGCAAACTATATTTTTTGTCATATATCATTATATGAAATGGCAAATCGCCGTTCCAAATTGTACGGGGCAGACGTCGTGATACGACGTTGGTCCTAAGATCCTTGAAATGTTAAGTATATTGCACTAAATCTGCAGTTCGACGTTCGAACTCTATTGACCAGCCAACTTCGGCTAAAGAGTGGAAGGTACAGCGAAAATGTAGGCACGCAAGAAACCAGCAATAAATAGCATGGTGGAAAATATAGTTAATAGTTTCATAATCCTAAAATAAGTAAACACCTCTTGGTGTCGTATTTGATAGACAACAAATCAGTATGCATACATGCGTGCGAAACTATGTGCAGGGTGGTAGCCCTACACTGGAACGCAACTGATACCATTTATTTAGAAGCTATGTCAAAATGAAAGTCTCTGTTGGTATAGCATCTGTATTTGAAATCCTCGCCACGATGAAGCTCTGTTATTGAAGCTCGCATCACTTCAGTTCCTCGAGAAGCTAAACGGGACAGCAAATTCGTGAAAAAAGCATCTCTGCATTGTTTTTATTAGCTGTGAAATTGCACAGATTTTTTTTTGTCGCATTTCGAATCTTGCGTTCCGTTGTGCAAAGAGAAAATTTGAGTTTTTCAGCTCATCTTTAGTCACAACATGGTTAGATGTCGACTTCGCAGTTGTTAAAAAAGCTTATACCTCTCTTCATATTCTTTTGCGAAACTGTTCCAGCTTGAGGACAATGGACAACAGAGCATCTCAGTTTACATTACACTAATAAATTTCCTGTTGTCATGATGAGTTAGTGTTTTCAGTCAGAACAAAGCTTTAATTTAGTACAAGGGATTGTGGATGAACGCATGATAAGCCGTTGCGAACAACCGACGCCAAGACTTTTCAAATATTTATACATTGTTGCTACCCGACATAAAGTTACGAAATCCAGTGGCTGTTGTTTTTCAGTGTTTCGTGTCGGCAAGCTATATAAAATATCAGTGGATACCTAATCTTTAACTTATTACCTGTGTAGCGAGGTGGCCGACTGTACGTGACAAGATCTATGGATATCTCTACGATTCTTTCACGAAAACTTGTTTGTTGTAAGTCAGTCCACATTGATTAAGCTTATTTTTATCTCTTTCTGTCTCTCTCGCCTCCGAGCCTTGTTATTTTAATTGAAGTGGCTCTCCTATTTGGCCTATCGTCTCTTACTCTCACATACTGCACCACCGAAGTTCGTTAGCGTATTTATGCGCTTTGTGGAAGAAAGCTATAGGAAGTCGCGTAACTCTGTATCGTTAGAAAATGATTTCTTGCTCGTTGGTTTCTGGTGGCATCATTACGGAGAGAGTGTGTGTCAATGTAATCTGTTTGCAGTTAAGTTGAGAGGGAGGTTTATGTGTGCTGTGCGTTGTTCTTCCGTGTGTCGAACACGAAATCCGGCGGCTGGCGGCAGAACAGTTGGGAGATAGCACGACCCGGCGTTTACCGACTCGACCAAGTAAGCTGGCGGCCGCACAAGCCCAACAGCGTTTGTCCAGCGCAAGTGGCAGGCAATTTGATAGTAGAAGCACCAGATAATTGTATCAATTGGGGCCACCGCGGAAGATAGAACGGCGGCCAACGGCTAAAATTCCTCAGGACGTCAGTGAACCCGAAGGTGATTCTGGTGCCAACGCCGAAATCTGCTAATCTTGTGAGAAGAGTAATCGAGAGTTGAATCGCATAATAATTCGTACTGTATTGCTGAATCAAAGTAAGAGAACACACAATGGCTGCCGGAGGGTCAACTCGAGGACTACACTATTTTAGGAGGGGTGAGTAGAATACGTTGTAGTTTAGTAGGCATCGGATCAAGATTCAACTGTAACATGGCAATTGTAGTAGGCAAAGCTTTCATTCACTTATAATATAGTAGTTTTACGCGAGATACAATGCACCGTTCGATCAACACAATAAAACGAAGTGCTCGCGGGTTCATACAGCTGATATATCAGATAGCAGAAAAGACACGTAGACACCTCGTAAAATTAAGCATTCGCGTTCCGTTAAAATTGTGGAGATGTTGTTTAATAAAGGCCAAAATCCAGACCATACTTATGGTCCAATCTAGCGCCTTATGTCTGAGCTGGAGAAGGACATGTCAATGATATCCGAACGTTTGCCTTAGCAAAACCGTTAAACTTTCGATAGATATGTCACTCTAAGAAACGTAAATTCTTGAATACTATTCAGAGTCTAACAGCGGCAAAAATTTAAGTAATTGTATTTAATTTAAGTAAGTGTACAGCAATCGAAACGCTGTTTTTAAGCATTTGTACGAATGTTGCATTATGACTCGTCTCTCGTGTGCATGGCATGTTCGTGCAAGATGCTATAAGCACTAGTAGACAAGTGTTTCACTGTAAAAAGATCAATTTATGGACTGTCTTCGACGATGAATCAACGCGATACAACAGCATACATTGCACACACAATCGCTTTTATTCGTTTGGTCATACTGTTATGTATCGGATATGGGGCATGCCTTGGCCCGTAACATTTTCTCACTTCCTACGTATATTTTTTTTTGTTATCTGTTATATACTATTCGCAAATTCAAAGCATGTTTCGTGATAACACAAACTGTGAAGTACAAGGGAGGTCTGCCAATCTTCAGCATCCATCACAATATTGTGTTTCATGGGCATGTTGGGCCGCCGGCCAATCGAGAATTGGCCATCACGACCACAATGGAATATCAACACGCGCCCGGTATTCAATTATTTTAATCAGTGCTATGAACAACAGTAAATGCTCATTAAGACACAGACTTCTACCAATGCAGCTCGTTTTAGATACTATAATCTTATCTTTATTACGACCCACCAAGAAACTTTGCGTCGCCTCATATCGGTTTGCGGTTATGGTTCGATTTGAACAGTCCTACTATACATTTGTCAGTAAGCTAAGACGTGATTTTGTTTGGAGATTTATCTTCGCTAGACAGCTTTGTCAGTTCATGAGCTTATCGTGACATTTCAGCACGACCGTTAGTCAGTGTTCTTTTGAAGCAATTTCGACAAGGTCAAGACTAAATTACAGAAACTCTTGACATTCATAGCAAGTCAAAAACACCTAAAAATAACGAACAAAGTAGATGCTTCTAGTAGAATTGGCAGTATCAAGCGAAAAAGAAGCGATCAAGTGATTATTAACATTTGGGTCATCGATGTAGACAAACCGCGTGCTTTGCTAACATCACTATATGTTAGCAACTGATTAGAAATACTTGTATGACACAAGCCTTACAGGTACTGCCACTGCGTTTCGATTGTACACTGCACAGTGTTTGATTAAATCGTGTCCGACGCTCTGTGCCTGGGCTGGCCAGTAGAGCTATTAAATGCATAAAACGTATGGGGTGTGCGCTTTTCTCGTACTGCTAGATATGGTCAAGGAGGATTTACATAATCCTTTCACTGCCGACAATCAGCTATCATAACTAGTACTTGTTAGTCGTCTTGCTAGATTGACTCAGGCTTTACACGGACAACGAGCAACGCCTTCGAATGTTCTAAGCATAGATCTTAGATAGGGATCTTTAACCTTCGAGCTATTATACGTCGACGAAGGTTACATGGGGCGAGAGCAAAATCTGATGACATAATAGAACGACGTACTCTCCAAAGTTGGGGTGGATCTCGTTTGAACGTGTGGTGACAATTATTGATTGCAGCAATGGACCGAACGGGTCACTTCCGTTTATCGCATATCAAATACACACTCGCGACATACGAAAAAATGCATCATTATGTGTACATATTTTTTTTCAGTTTTAAGTAAATTAGTGCCATATGACGTTTGCGGGGTGCGTAATAAGTAGAAGATCGCGTGCACTGTTCCGGTTTAAAATACATTTTAGTGCAGCCGTTTACGGTAGTCTGTTTTTCTTCGTTGCTGAGTAAAGTTCTTGTATTGTTGAAACCTGGTGGCGCATCTTTACTTTTAGATGCCGACAGCGAAACTTCGAATCGACGTAAATTTTTTTCTGTTTCTATATACCGAAAGGGTCTGACTCAGTTCAAGGATAGCTGTGCGAAGCAGTCAAGCCAGCAGGTAGCTTTATCGGGAATATTAATACAGAAGTGACCTTCAACACGAATATTACGTTTTGCTTAACTTTTTTTTCAACGAAAAACCCGTAAATCTTTTTACATACAAAGGCAGTTTTCTGCGATTAAAGTTCAAAATAAACTCAGACCAAGGCCAGCTTAAGTGACTGATTCAATCACGAACTGCTGTTGATCATAATACCCTAGCAGCTGTTCGTGTCAGCTAGTCACTTCCAAGTTTCGGAGGTTTTTTCAGTAATGGGCCAGCGCCTGATAATTTGCTTAATACTTTTCTATGCTTACGATGTGAAAGCTGGATAGAATCGCTCCTCTTTACAATAACAATCTTCCATTTTGCAACTTGTTCAATATTATCGTGTAATGAATTTGTTGCTAGGTTACTTCACGGAAACAGGCACAATGAACTCAGATCCGAGTTTAACTATGAAAGTCGATGAGGTTCTCTACGAAGGTCAAAGCAAGTATCAGAACATCGTGATGTTTACCTCGAAGATGTTTGGTCGAGTTCTCTGTCTCGACAATGCTATTCAGTGCACCGAGTTTGATGAATTCGCCTATCAGGAAATGATTTCATTTCTTCCTCTCAACGTACACCCCGATCCCCAGGTAACAACTTTTAAGTCATAGTCAACTACGGTGATGGTCACCTCATTTTGCGAGTATCCCCATGGCTTAACATGCTTCCTTCCTGCGCATAGATTTTCAAACAAGTATCAGTATTCAAATAATCATAAAACCTTATCGTAGTACTCATGTCCACGTTAGTACAAATCGAACTTCGAATAATGTAAGCTAATGTTTTTGCTGAATCGTATATTAGTTTATTTTATTGCACTGAAGCGTAATTTACCTATGCGAATATCAAAAATCGGACATTTAGAACGTGTTGATCATCGGCGGAGGTGATGGAGGCGTTGCTCGTGAGGTGAGCAAACATCCAGGGGTGAAGAGGATCATCCAATGTGAGATTGATGAGGACGTTATTAAGCTCTCTAAAGAACATCTTCCATTCATGGCTGAAGGATTTCACTCACCCAAGCTGGATTTGAAGGTCGGCGACGGCATCGATTTCGTAAAAAACACCACTTTACGATTTGACATTGTTATCACAGACTCGTCGGACCCAATTGGCCCTGCAGAAGTCCTTTATAAGGACGACTACTACCAAGCACTAAACAACATCCTTAAACCTGGCGGTATCATTTGCTGTCAGGGAGAATCAATGTGGTTAGTAAACGACTTCGCAGAAAATACTAGCAATGGTTAACTAACTATTGTTAGAAATTATTATTTCTTAGTTAAAGATAATGAGAGACAGAGCATTAAAAAATGGATGACACCAAGTATACGAGGTTAGCGTTTACATCGACTCGGCTTGGACATTGCAGGTTCGACCTGAAGTTTATTGGTGACGTCCTTCGTCGATGCCGAGCCATTTTTCCTAGCGTAGCCTACAGCTCCATTTATATTCCCACCTATCCCGGTGGTCAGATCGGATTTCTGCTTGCAAGCAACTCAGCGAACGTAGACTTCGTCAAAGCAAGAACAGTTTTTACCGATGAAGACTGCGAACGCCTGAAGCTAAGGTTTGTTCGCACAACGCATTGTAAGGAAGACATTGTGCCTTACTTTATGAAGGAGTTCCCATTTGAGTATTTGACGATGCAAAGAATTTTTTCTGTGCTCGATATTTAGTGCGTATTTTTTCTTGGTCGTTATCGATTTGCAGGTATTACACAAATCAGGTACATGAGGCTTCATTCGTTTTGCCGCGCTTCGTGCAGAAAGAGGTTGAAAAAGCCATTGGAGAAAAGAGTGGAGAAGGTAAGGTTTAATCGACATGCGGCCAACGTCTTGGAAGTGCCTTTTTAATCAAGTTTATAGGTCTTACGTATGCACAATATAAATGGGCAGTCAAATTTATAAATCGGTGGCCTCGCCAATTTTTATTCACGTAAACCGTTTCTACCGTGTCGAAATTAACCTATCGTTCGCTATTTCAATCTAATACAGTTTTGGGCCTTGTCGATGAAGCAGGAACCCGCTTCTAATAGTGATCTGCTTGATATTTATTTGTGCCATCTATATGAGACGAGACTGCTGTCTGTTGAAGCCACAATAGACCGCAACTTTTCCTAGATGATCCTGCCTTCACCTATCGCTAGTCGCCATTACGAACCTTGTCAAACGGTGTTTCGATAGTTCAGTTTAAAAATCTTTAAAAGGAAATCACTATCTACAAAGCGTAACACAGGCGCCTTACGTTGCCGTCGTGGGTTGAAGCATAAACCCATGCAAGTCTAAATGGACATGAGTCTAGCAGAAAAATGAACTGGAACACCAACAAAAACTTTAACGGTTCCTTTGATATCACAAGGTCATCAATAAGTTATATTAAGTCGTTAGTACGTTTAGTGAAAGACACTAATAGACACTAATAAAGCTAGTTATGTCTCATATGTGTATCTTATTTGCTTCGTGCCGTAATTACTAGAGCGCAATTTTTCGTATTGTCTTTGTACTTCCATGCGTAAATCGGCTGGCCTATTGTATAAGAGAAACTTCAGCCAAAGGCAAAAATAAAGACCCTTTGATTGCGCTTAACAAACAGAACAATAAACCTAAGCCATCAGCCTTGAGTTCTGTGATCGTACACTTTTTTCATATGGAGAAAATATTACAGTGAGCACTACAGCATAGTATCACACAAACGTTATGATGGAATCTCTAAGATCTAATTCCAATAGACGATCTTGCCTGGATGCTCTCAAAACGCCAAAAATGGCGGTGCGGTAATTTCATTCTTCAATATTATAGGTAATAAATCTCATGAATGTCATAAACTACACCAAATACGAGTTCTGATTTGGAAGAAAACTCTATTCAGTTATGATATCCGTGTTTATTAGATAAGAACTGCAAAAAATTATCTGCGTCTTTATATTTTGGGGATTGTATTAATTAAGGTTTTCAGTGCTTCTGGAAGAGGTTGGTCCACTGGATTTGATCCCGAAACTCAATAGCTTCGTCTGCAAATACATAATGGCATTTACAATTGATCCATTCTAATAACAAGTAGTGCTTCCTCGCTTGATATTTGTACAAAAGCTGATACGTCTTACGCAGATCATAGTTTAACTTGGCGTGTGCTGAACTTATGTTAATTTGATCATGCGGAACCCAGGACGTACTTGTTGCTTCAACTGCTTTTGAAAATCCTAAGGCTGAAAAATATGTAAAAAAAAAACGGTAAGTGGCGACATAGCAACCTAGATAATCCGCATTTGACGAACTCGACATAAAACAAACAGAAGTGACTAAATAGAGAGCTGGGCCGGAGTTAGGTAGGAGCCCTACATCCCCAGTCGACTCTCCCTTCGTTTCGTCTAGACATGGTATCGATCACGTAAAGTATACATTTCCGATGTAAAGAAACGTACGCGTGTAAAAATCAAGTGTATGCAGAGAAGCGTATTTAAACGAGTAATAATTCGCAGGAAATTTTGGTGGGGTTGCACTAGATACCATGCACCGGTCAGCGGTCTTCTAGCACACCCATTAGGGCCTACTGATTAATTTTACAGGTTCGTCACTTGTGCATCTTAAGGTTATGAATGAATAGTCATCACCGATCTTCTGTATATTTCATAATTACAGTATTTATATACAAAGGCTCTTGTTGAACGTCTACCTCTAAATATGAGTAAATCCTATGAATTGACTTATCAGTGGACGTATGTGCACGTAGGACCTAAAAAAAAAACAAGCAAGAAGTGGGTCCATAGTTCACATATATTTGATTCAGTGGAGCGGAAAAAAGCCAAGGAAATAAAGTTGTATGAAGCAAGGAAGATCTGTATCTAGTAATTCCTCAGTCCTGGTGAACTAAGAATCAAAGGGCAAGTAAATAACACTTCAAAGAAGTATTATTAGATAAAATTTGGACCCTTTGATGGAGCCATAGCTAGATCCTCCTAGCCTTTTTAATTTCACAAACGCGCTCCGACAACCATTGCACGTCGTGCAGTTGTGAGGCGCGTATGTGTAGTTTTATTGTTGCTTTTGTTGTTGTTGTTGCTGCTGCTGCTGCTGCTGCTGCTGCGCCCGACTTCTTCATCCTTCTTTTTTTGTGCACTCGTCGAATGCGCATTTATCTTATGTGTCCCGAAGGACACTGGACTGATTGGTTCACTTTCCTTATATAAATTGGTGGCGGCACACAATTCCCCGGAATCGCAGCTTAGTTGTAAACGGTACTATAATTAAGAGTCTGCGCAACTTGTAGATCAGTAAGACGAACTTGTAAAGATCGCTACGATATAAGACAATGTTTCTATAACAGGTTAAATTAGAGTATTTAATATTAAAGTTGTCTTTCTAACATTACAACTCTTTCAAAGTACTAGCTCGCTAAGGCAAGGGTATTGGATGAATGAATTGCGCTAACATAGTGCATCACATATCGAACGATTCGAGACGCCGTCGAAGGGCTTAAAAGTCGGATTTCTTATGAATGTTATGCAGATTTTAGCAGATACAGATCCGAACTACCCCGACTACCCGAAATCTGCTCGTTGTTCGAGTGTGTCGTCCACTGTAGTGGAATCTGCGAATGAATGCATTTCTCATGTCAACAAGAGACTGAGCGGGACTGCTGCTGCTGCTGCTGCCGCCGTAAAACCGTCGTACTACTGAGTCGCCTTTTATTGGCAAAAAAGAAAGATTTCTCAAAACAGGCAGTACACTATTGTATATCATAAATGCTACTTGGATTCTGGAGAATGGATGGAGCGAAGGCACACATTTGGCAACAAAAAACACATGTTACACAACATACTAAAATTATTTCATGCGTTGTTTTGTCTGTTGTTGTATGACACAATACGTTTATATGTCTTATATGTCTCATAACTACAATGAACTCTCGTCAGTTGTACAATCAAATTGGTTAAAAAGCTGGGTTAGTATTTTGTTGTAATACGCAGGCCGTAGCAGTCCAGCACTTTGTGTTCACCATTGTCGCGCGTTGGCGGTGGACAATCCGGTTTTTATCGGACATTGATTTTTATCAGTCTCTTCTTCCTAGATGTCTATTTGCTATTTCTATTAAATATTCAAACACATTTACGCGGAGAAAAACAACTAGCCTTTGTGCCGTAAACAATCAATGGGTTCGGAGTCTCGACGTGGGCTAACGTTTTCACTTGCCCCGCAAACTTCCGTTGTGTTGAAAGAACAAATATATAGTTAATGCTTTACTTCAGAAATACACAAAAATACTGATCTGTATGCCTATATTTAGAAGTAAGAGGGGTATATTACTAAAACATTGACATCGGTAGCACCTTGCGACTACGAAATTATAAATGGATTTACAAATTAGGAATTGTTTAATTAGGCTTTGTTCTTTATTGACATTAAAAATATAATATATATGAGAGTAAATCAATACTTTTTCAACTGAGTGATACTTTGGACGTTACATGCACGCAATTAGTATAACAAATACGTTTTATTTTTCCGTAATATAGCAAGAACTGGTAAACGTTTTTCCTTTCCCTACCCAACAGTCACTAACAAGACAAAAAAAGACACTGTATACACGCACGTGGCAACGAATGATATAGGCTAAGAACACTTAGTGGAACATAGGCCACATAGCAAACACTATAGTCATAGTGAAAACAACGCACAATAGGAAAACGTAGTACTTAATGGCAGATATTACCATATCGCACGTACTATTTCTACGAACAGCCATGGAATGATTTTCACCGCCAGTATCAAGCGGAGCACAAATAGTATGATTAATATTAAAGGTACTCTATTAGGGGAAAAAATAATTCGATCTCGGTTTCTACTTCTAGCTACTTCTAACCAGGCGGCATGGAGTTATCAACTTTTCATGACGGCAGGTACAGCGCATGTCTAGTAGGCCCAGCCGGGTTTATCGGTGACAAGCCAGTACTAGTCACTTGTTCTAGTTTTAATGGCACTACTTTACAAGCTGGCCTTCCATGCCTGCTTCATAGGCTTAAGTATGTCACTTTTCTGTTCTTCGAGTGTTCTTTTCCCGTGGTAAATTTAGTGAGAGAAGGTGGATTACTGTCGTCTATTTTATGGGGCACTGCCTAGTTTTCGGCGTTTACAAGAATCAAAGGGAGGTACGCTCCATCGCGCTGATCTTTTTCGGGCTTGGAACAGCCGCCTTGCTTCCGATGCATAGATAATTCTCTAACGAGGACGTTTCTAGTAAGCCGGAACCCATATTCGCAAAGAGAAAAGTTGCGACCATTGTATAACCAGCAATCGGGTGCAACTTTAGCGGACTTATAATCATAAGTCCACTAAAGTTGCACTTATAATCATAAGTATTACTACGCAGCCGTGTAACAGGCAGGCATTGTACGCGACTAACGATCATTGTATTGCTGCCCGATAAAAACTGGCATATTTCCTGCTTTAGAAACCTCTTTTCAGTTAAAAAATTAAAAATAACGAATGCACGGAGTATGGAGTGAGGTGGTTTAAAAAAGTAAAGACAAACCGCGACGCATGTTACTATATCATGCTGTTTGTTCAGGTCTATTTGACCGGTCTGCTAGTAGCCTCTAGGAGAATATTTTCAATGTAAACTTTCTGGGTACGAGCTTGTTGGCTGTTGTTAAACGAACGATCCGACTTATGATTTATAATGAACGTAGCCCGTGTCAATACCATATCGCCTTTGTTGCGGCTTGTCTGTGCTAATAATGCTTAACGATTGAGTAGAAGTTAAGCGCTGAACTTATACGCCATCTTAGTGTGGATCACAATCAATCATGCTACCATTACAATTGTTCATTCTGTCATAGCTTACATAGTATTAATGGATCAAAAAAGGTGCTAGTTATTGAAAGGTTAACAGATCCAGGTGGGCCTGAAACGGATTGAGGGTGTATGAAAAGGCTCGTATACTTTATATAGTTTTAACAGAATACGTAACCGTTAATGCGAATGGGTAGTGATTTACGACAGTAGCCATTGTTGCCTTATACTCCTAGCAAAATCGTTGTTGCAATATATCTAGTCTACATAAACGAACCTTACTACGACGAGCCTTCACAATAATAGGATAAGTTGTTTTGAGAAACAAATTTGGCCTCCTTTACTGTGTACACAAACAAAACTTCGATAACAGCTATAGGCTGATCTACATTTATACGTCTAGGGCTGGTGGGTGTCGCTCAATACGTTCTCTGTACATGAAATTTACTTTTAGTTAGTTGTGATCTGTAGCGAGCTTCGATCCGAAGGCTTTTGCATCTATAAAGAGTTAACGCTTTTGCTATTGACAAGGGATTTGTTTTAGAATCATCCGGGTTCAATACATACAATAAGATACTGTGCAAATTTGAGCCCAAGACTTTAGCGACCCACCCAATCTCTATATAAATGGCTTCGATGCAGAAGAACCGTGACCCATTATAACTGTAATTGAGAAAGTCAACATTTTCATTATGAGAAATGCACCTGGGAAATTCCTCCAGCGTATGTGCTATAGTAATACGTGCAAGACGAAATCGCACTTTTATATCCACCACTGTTAAGCTTATTTTTGTTTGCATAAAAAAAAAGTAAACCAGATAGGCCTGCCTTTTACTATGTGAGACGAAAAGGATAACAATGTGATTTTTATCCTAATTGTAAAAAAGCTCAAAGTCAAGCTTTGTCTTTTTAGGTTTACAATCTGCCGAATCGTTTCAGCGGACTTCTCTTTCCGCCGAAGTAGGCATTCTAAAACATGAGCAAAGGCAGTTTTCGCGAAAAAGGACCTAAGTATATGCGCAAAGGGGAACTGGACCCATTTGCACAGAATCCGATCTTGGACCTGAAATTGTTGTCTGGAACGCATACCGGTTAGGTTTTCAATGTGTACATCGTGAATTGGTTGATATTATTTGAGAAATCGCGAAGGCGTTAGAATAGATAACTGAATCAAAATACAATGACTAATATCGACACGAGGTACTTCGTCAGGTCGGGAGGGGGATTCGCAGGCTGTATTATGCGTCCTAGAGTCCTCGTCGACTTTGTAACAAAATAGCAATGTCATACGTTTCGCAGTGCCGTACAGACTTCAATTGCTGTTACCATACGTTTAGCAGAGCCTATGGGAAACGCAGTGATGGGGGAGCAACCAAACAAAGGAACGGTCGTTACGAAACCAGTAAACGCGGAGTGAATATCCGTCAAATAACGGTGCGCTTATACGGACTAAAGAGCAATTGAAAATATTACGACATTGTAAATAATACTGTTTATAGTAATACAATATTAGTTTTTGTAGGACAAACGGCCGTAAAGGTGAATCTCATAACAGAAGCAACGAGGGTATTAGTGAATACTTTTATACTGACGTAGAAGCGGGTATTTTCATTTTAGCTATATGCCAGAATTCCAATAACGGCAATCGAGGTATAGTCATGTATGAGCTACTTTTTTAATATACAATAATTCAGATTGGTGTTAAGTACTGTGGTGGGGTAAGCGACCCTTCTTTCTAGATTTCTCTCATTTCGAGTATTATGAAGTACGTCTTATTAATCAGCGGGGGGAAAGGTGTCGCACATCAGCTGTATCTTGCCGTACAAACCATTCCAAAGCCTCGAAAAAATCCGCCTCATTTTAACACGCTAAAATCTGCATTTCAAGTGAAAAGCGTGTTATGTGATTTTATGCACGTCACTTACACAGAGAACTAACTTGTTTAGCATAACGTACCATAGGTGACAGACTTCACTTCCTGCCCTATATTAGAGGCGCCCATAACAATTTTCTAGCTTATAGAAAGATAGGTCCATGCGAATCCAGTAGACCTATGGCAGTACAGCCAGCCGCCATGCAATCGCCCAATAACGAAATAAGTTTTGTTCTGTCGAATCAACGGGCTATCACCGACAATGAACTTTCTTTTCTCTTTCTATAAGCGCCAAAATCGTTATAGGCGCCTCCAGTATTCGGAAGGGGATGAAGTCATTCACATACGACAAGTTACGCTAAACAAGTTACTTTTCTGTGTAAGTAACAAACATAAACAATGCTTATTAATAATAAAGAACGTTATACTGTTTAGAGAAATCAGACAACTGAATGGTGAATCGCTTGGAATCCATGTTTTGAACAACTACGAAAATAGACTCAGGTTGCAGCAGTAACAACAGTAGCAGTTGAAAGTGGGCTCATTCACAGCGACTGAGGCACTGTTATCAGACGTACGAACGATGATCTGCCTTTTTGCACGTCGAAGACACCTATGGCAATATTGCGGTTAGGCAGCGTCTTGACCCTATTCCCGAAGCTAACCGTCCTCACGTTTCGTGCAAGTTTAAATCACCTTAAACTTCAGATCTGTGTTCTTAGCTAAGGCCTTTCTCTTATCTTTTCATGACGGCAAGTAAGCGTATAAAGAAAAAGTCAGAATCAAAAGCCGAGTCCCGGCCCAAAAGTGGCTATCGACTATTATCCGTCCTTCGCTAAGGCCTGTATGGACGCGTATAATTACTGTCACATTGCGGAACATGAATCGATGTGTTTAGGCGTTAAAGAGGACGAAATGGCAAACAGAATATTGTATCGGTTAGCGGCAGGCAGGAATAGCAAAATAGGTATATTGAAGGCACAATATTGCACAGGTGCTTTAAATCACCGCAACGGGCCGACGTTCCGGTCGCATTAAAAAGAAACGACTTTCACAGGACGATTTCACGCCGTCGGATTAGAGAACGCACGCCGAACTAGACAAGGCACTGAGGGGTATTAAATAAATGTAGGCACGCCGCTTATTATACTGCGATACTGGCTAATCGACAGTCACACTGCAGATAGCGGTTTTACATCATATAAAATTAGTTTCATTGTATTACTTCTATTTCGATAAGCTATCGGTACGTTTGACGTAATATTCTGCACAAAACGTTGTCGATTACTTGTATTTTAATGGCTTAGTCATGCCATATATCGAGGGCGAGGCTTGATTTATATATGATTTAATTACCGCACTACCCGCGTACGCAAGAAGCGTTAAGCACCAGTGGGGCACAAACGCATCTAAATGACAGGGAGCTTCTAGCATCTGAAGATTTAGAATTTTCAGGTACTGACTTTTATTAGCATACATAAAATGATCTCAGGATGGGTGTTTTTATGTACTAGACTGCTTTTCCACAATTTGCGCTGGACTCTCCAGGTGTAGCTTATCGAGTTCTGGCTTGACGATACGTGGTTACCATTGCTCCGTACCTCGTTGGTATCACCAACTGCCAGAAACACTCGAATAAAGGAAGAAACTCGGCATGTGCTATTATGTAGTCATATTCGATTATAAACTGGTCGAGTATAGACGGCCGCCGAGCTTCCTACATGACCATGTGCACACTAGACTGTGGCAATCTCGAAATACTAGGAAGCTCTACGACATAAAGATTGATACATGTGTCAATATTAACTCGTTTTTGTTTAAACACCTGTCCGATATGCCTACATAAAACATCTTGACAAGACTACCTACTACCGTAGAGAATTTCTATAGTAGCCTAGTTGAAAGCGATTCTTCCAGTGTTATTTGGACAAAAAGGCCTGTAGGCGGACATTTACTCTCCAATTGAGAACTACTAAAAACCGTGTTATTACTGCTAATCACATATATATGTATGAATCAAGGCAATATACTCACAGTTAACATACATAATTTATTTATGGGTATGCATATATGGTTTAAAAGTGACGAATCTCTAGTAGTTCATCTATTTCTGTACAGCGTAATATTTTATAGTAATTGGGCTATTATTTAAATCGAGGAGGATAAGAGTATAATTATAATAATAGCCGACATCATAATCAGTGAGGAGATCACAGCGGAAACTTTGGCAAACCTTTTTTTGCACGCTGCACTTCGTTACAATGTTAGTTTATACTTAAGTCGTATTATCTTATTACCTAATTATCTGTGGCAAGTCTGCTTTTTTGCTATTTACGCGTGTCTGTTTTCGTGTATTTACGTTGTGTCAATATGCGTGAGATTAGAGCGCGTTATGTCTAATGGACATGTGTGCTTTACTATTTTGAAACATTATTTCTCCTACTGACTATGTGTGTGTCTGTGAACGTGAGATAATGAATGATCGTGATTACGACCTCTGTGCTTTTTCTGTTCTTCTACCACCTACATAGAGTTGATTCCCCTGGATACATTCAATCCTTCTTCTGTTCTGCGGAGCTCAATCTCTATTCTCGATCTGTAGTATTCGTCCTTTACGAAATACACCTGCGTTGACTGTCGAAGACGACGACTTTCTACAAGGATGCTGATAACTGTCTGTTACCTATGCTTTGTATACACATGCGTCTCTTCTTGTGTTACTTTTTGTGTAAAATTATTCAACCAGATCCCTGTTAATATCTTCCTATGGCATTGTTTGTCTGGCTCAGCTTGCAGCATCACTTCATTGTAAGAGTATTAATGATAAGTGCCATTGTTATTGACAAATGACGATATAATTGTTCGTTTGTTGGTAATGAAATTCGTTGAATAGCTGTTAGCTAGTCGGGCTCTGAAGTTCCGTTTTTTTTCCATTTCGTAGCGGATCCTGGATATCGGCTAACAGCCGTAACTTGTTTCCCTGTTATTGTTAAGTTTCTTCAATCGGATTAACCTTTGTTTCGGCTATCTGTCTTCGCGACCCACTCTTCCTCACTGTTTATTATAACATCTTTCGCCTATTATACTTTTTTTCGCTGGTGTTCGTCTTTATAGATCACTAGAATACTAGAACATATCATTTATGGAACAAGCCCACTGATCTAATATATAGACCTCCATGCAGCCAATGGATACTCGACGTGGAATCATCGGTCGAGTAGCCGTCATTCAGCGTGATCGAGGATCATCGATTCCTTTGCCGCAACCTATAGCTCATGACCACGCGACTCCTCGTCTGCGAGGTGCCACTTTACACCTTGTACTTAGATCCACGATCACGTATTTATATGATATACTGTCAGTGGGCTTGTCTACCGAAGTCTTAGATTTTAGATAGAACTTAGATCTTACCACGACGCGCTTTAGAAATAGAGAAGTTCGTCCCTTAACTTCATGTAACATCGTCGGGAATTGATATTTTTATGGGGATAGATTCGATTATTTCCTTTTTTCTTCGTTACACTGATGCTTCAACCTTTTCCATCGTGTACATGTCCCCCAGAATCCGTTCAATCGGGATGTTGCCTATTGTATCTTTAAAGAATAATTTCTCAATGAACGCATTCGAAATTGCCCTCAGCATAGGTAGCAGCAGTAGCAATCGGCCGAACCTTGTTGGTTGACGTGGATAACGGTGACGTACATAGTCGCCAAGGACGCACTGCGCTTGATCCTGCAACATTTCGACAGGATGTGTGTCGCATAACCCCATCGTTTCTGTTTAGGCGATAAACATCAATGAAACAAACACCAAAATAATACGCACAAATATATTAGTTTAGTTCAATTTTGACATGCATAGTGGACAAAGTTTCGCCATAAGATGCTTGCCTCGGGTACAGGCGTTCACCATGAACGCATTTACGGGATATGATTTATAATGCTTAAATGCTATAAACAGGCGTGTTAATGGGCTTTTTGTCATTAGTTTATGTGCAAAACTAAAAGGCAGACAACATATTTATTTAGGAAATTTTACCAGGCTTGAACAACACGATAGCTTTCAGACAGCTACACTCAGTCTCGTCGGGTGATAGTTGTCGCAGTCTTCGCATTACGTCTTGCACGTAATGAATTTCGACGGGGTTCAGGTCGACAACGTCCGGCGCATTGACTGGACTGACGGCGCTGCGCTCGGGGGACCCAGGTGGCGATTTCGGCGTCGATGAACGCGACACTTTACCAGGCAGGGCAGAAATAAGATCGACGCCGGCCGACCATTGAGACATGTAGAATAAGAAGAGGTCCTTCCACGATTCCTCTAGCAAGCACACTTGGTCGCTGCGAGAGAGTGTCTGGAATGTGGGCAGACACTTGACCCAGCGAATGACCATGAATAGCAAGCGCGCCGTCACTTCTTGGGTTGTACCGCCACCGGAAACACCCCCTACCAACGCATGTGGCATGTTTCGGGGTCTCACTTCGGTCGATGTCGATCCACTTTCCGAGGCAGATGACGATACCGTGAGCAAAGGGGAAGTGCAGCTTGACGGTGGCCGCTCGGACGGGTCCTCCGTAGATGGTGAACGAGGCCGCTGGAAACCTGTCAATCCTAACGACAACAACATGTTTGTTTAGTTACTACAGAGTAGAAAACACAGCATAAATTCTCTGTGCATTCTACTATGTAACTGTTGTGCTATAGTAAAAAGAAGATCATTACACCAACGGCACTAGAACGGTCATGACCACATAAGTAGATGCGCGTGCATCACTGATGAGAGTACACATTGCGTTCAGCTCCTTTACGTTAAACATCACTTGAAGAATTTTAATAGCCATAAGCTTGTGTTATTACATTACAGAACACACGTTTTTCTTCGTTTATAACACGTTAATGTTGGACGAGACCGTTGTGACTGATTCTGGACGCTTGCGCTTGGATGTGCTAGTTCGTCGTACTATACTTTTGCTACCTAACACGACAAAGGGACATAAACGCTTTTGCTCTTATTAACTTCTTCGGTTTCGCACGGTTTCGTACATACTAGGAGGAAGAATTGCGCCAAATATTACATGTACAGTATGCGTTTAAAAAAGTTAATAATTTGTCTCTATAAAAGTTTCCATAGCATCGACCCGTCGAACTTAACAAGGACAGCTGAATTAATTAGCAATAGTACAAGCGGTTCAAATACGCAGAGTGATCACAAAAATGCACTTTACCGCCTGTATTCATGCTGCTGCTGTCTCCATCCACGCTTTACATATATATATATATATATATATATATATATATATATATAACGAGAATGGTAGAGGTAGTAAAAGTCGCCTCAGCAATAACTGTAAGTGAACTATGTAGTAATACTGCTGATCACAGTGATTATTCATACGTAAGATCTTCTCTACTGACCCATGAGTCCCTGGGACGGTGGTGGTGACGCGGGTGAAGTCCACTCTGCTGTTGCAGTTGCCTGAGGTTGACCAAGGCCGTTGCTGCCGGCTGTGGACGCCGATAGATGCTGTGGAGGCGGGGGCGGTGGCGGTAGGCCCGACGCGGAGGCCGCGGGGTTGAGCAGCATCTGCAGAAGCCCCGCCGATGAGTTGAGCATCAACGCTGGTGGCAGCGGTAACGGAGAGGAGCCCCCAGCAGCAGCAGCGGCCAGCAATCCTGGAGGCGGAGCGCGGGGAAGAGGCCCCATCGAGTGTGAGTGCGAATGGGCGGGTGGATGCGAAAGGGCGCCGAGCTGAGGTGAGGGGGCTGCGAAGGGCGGGGGCGGCGAAAAGCCCAGAGATGTCCCAGGCAGAAAAGGAGATCCCGACGGGGGAGCCAGAGGACCACCGTTGCCTGCACGTCCCAGGGGTCCGCCGCTGCTGTCTCTGTAAACAAAACGGAGCGAACGAAGCAAACGGTAAAACCAAGAACCAACGGAGCAGCGAATGAACGGAACAGACAACGAACCATTGAATCAGAAACAGCCAAGGAACGCAAACGACATCTAAATGGTGACCAGGGAATTGCGATGTTGATTGTGCTGATGATTCTCGGGCTGGTGGCGTTGATGGTGACAATAAGATTAGTATTCGTTGGGATCAGGAGATCAGAAAACAGGAAAATAGGAAGGCGCAGATCAAGAAAAGAGAGATAACACTTCGGGCGATGGTTCTTTCTATCAGTCTTCCTCCGCTCCCCTCCCTGCGACATTCGTCTTGTTTCTGTCTCCCATCTTCCTGCAAGAGGCTCCTAGTCTATGTTATCCATTCTCCTTGTTCGCGAGCGCCGCTTGCAGGAGCCATCGATTTTCCGTACGGAATGAAGGAACAGGAGTCGAGAGTTGGAGAAAGCCGTTTCCCCGTTCTGTCAGGAGACTAACCTGTGCGGGTATAGACTGATCCGCATTGACCCAACGGAGGGAATGCAGGCAGGAGAAAAGGAGGGAGAGGAGGAAATAGGTAGCTCTGAAACGGGGCTGCCTAAGGAGCTTGGGAGACAACCAACCGCTACGCCGACGGAGCGGACCACTTTATGTGGGTTCAAGAGCTCGCCCGCCTGATGCTGCTGTCTCCACCCGGCTAGAAGCATCGCCATCGTCGTCCATTACGAGCGGCCAAGCCCTCGTAGAACGCGCGCTGCCTTCCAGTGCGAGGATAACAAGTGAGGGCATCTTGCCCCGGTATAAGAAGAGAAAAAAAAGAGCATGGCTGCAGCGCGACGGGCTGAAAAAGGGCGGGAGGGGCGTTGTCGACATTGCCCCGTGGACTAGCGGCAAGGCAGAAAGGGGGGTCAAGTTGTCCACACGTCAACGCTCAAGACGATGGATGGCTCTTGCCCTGGACGACTGGCAAAACCGATCCTGGTAAGACCAGCGGCTCTAAAACTCAAAAAGGACAGCGAACAAGATATGATGACAGGGGCCCGAAAACGACCAGAGGAAAGCAGTAGATAGCAGATATTGCCATAAAGGGCACATACACACATGGGCCTACGTAGCTGCAGACAGCAGCAACCGTCTTAGAAGCGACGAAAGTTGTGACAGAGAGGGATAATGGAACTAGAAGACATGACTGGTAATTGAGCGGCGCTAGACCAGTGAATGTATCAAAACAAGTGAGAGAATAGGAACAGATGAAGGGTAGACGGAAAACGGCCGCTACATACCTCGGTCGACTATGAGGGAAAAATGATGCTTTTGGCAGTTTGCCCATTTCTGAGACATCCTTGAACTTCGGTTTGCGAGGTCCGCGTTCGTGCTGGACAGCTGAAAAAAACGATGAAGTAGAAGAAGGTTAGACGTCAATCCAGTGGATCAAATTGCTCTTCGATGAGATTGTGCAATTCAAGCTAACAAACGCTGAAGTTACTAGCAGCTGAGATGGCTGAACGTCTTAAGAGTCCTACTAGTACGATGCTGCGTTCTATCAAAATTAAAGGCTTATTTAGAGAACTTGTAACTACTGATTTTTTTGTACTGCCGAAGTTTACTTCTTCCTTTTACTAACCGTCTTTATTCATGCTGGCTTCGAAACACTTCTTAAGGCGGCAAGCACGGCACTGATTCCGGTGGGTTTTGTCGATAGGACATTTGCCCTTGAAGTCGCCTTGCGCTTTGCATGTATATACCCGATTTCGGTGTATGCTCCTTTTGAAAAAACCCGAACATCCTGAACAGGAGAGAAATACGTTTTAATCTTAGCCAAACAATGCATCCGAAGTTCTCATTACTAACATAAATTGCTTCTCATATATTCTAACATTCTGCTGCCCTTAGCTCATCTATGTTCAGCCATACTCTCATAATAGTTGTAATTTCATAAAATCAATTTATCGAAATTCTACAATATACAGCTTCCCGCATGTATATTGTATCTTGAAATGCGAAACAAATCGATGCGGCGAACATATAATTCTGCATTTCAGAGAAACGTTTCTCAATGGTCAACAGTGCAACAGCAATTAACGCGCACCCGGAACTGCTGTCTAACCACCAATCATGATTATGCCCAGTCACTTTGCCTGCTACCATGACCAAGGATCGACGTATTAAAAACAGGATGAGGAGACCCAAGGACCTTTTGACGCTTAATCGCCCACATTTTTGGATATTTTTTATTAACTCATCCAACAAGCGAAGAGAGAGTCATAATACACTCTTACACCTTTAATGGATCGTGCACTTGATCCATAGTATTAGAATACGATAACAGTACTGCGGTGACGCTCGTGTTCAAAACCCCTGCAACAAATGCTCCAACGACTCCAGGCGGACGCTACGAGCGAGTAACCTGGAGGCGTGCTGTCACGAACAAACTGAAATTGTGTTGCATGCGCATGTTGAAGACTTGCCTCGTGGTAACACGGCTATTGACTAGTCGCTACGACTTCTTTGCTTATGTGCTTCAGCAACTAATCACAGGTAGGCAGTGACGGTAAGTAACGATCGTTCTTTTATGTAGTGCCCTGACACATTTCCATTACGACGCACAAAGTTAGCCGAGGATAGTACGCGTCGACAGCCTCCGCAGACCGGTAGTCAACGAAGCGCTAGATGATTCCAGCGCGAAAATCGTTAAGTTTATTCGATTTAAATCCTTTCATTTTTCAGCCCTACGGTTATAGGAGTAAAGTTTGTCACCGCTGTTTTCCATGATTGTTTTGAAAAAAAAAAATAAAAAACCTCCACTTCCAGAGCGTCCAAGAGAATACTTGGCGTGTCCTAGAAGTGACATTTCTTCTTGTCGATACGTGAGAAAGCTGCAAATAATAAAGACTTACCGTCACAGCTATAGATACCGTAGTGCTTTCCACTGCTTCGGTCCCCACAAACCCCGCATGGTATATCAAGAAGTCGGTCGCCTCCGATAGGTCGCGCTGTGAACAAAAAGAAATTATTCGGAAAATGTCAAAAATAGATATGTTTTGTTGCTGGCAAATAAGCCAAACCCAGTATCGTTTGGGTTTCGTTTTATAGTTCGGGGTACGCTACATACGATTTGAACATCCGTTGGTCCGATAGACAAATACCCCCAGATTTAGACATTTGTTGAACTTAAAGATCGAGCAATACATCAGTCGTGGTCAATTTGCCATCCACTCGAAGGCTTTTGTTTTGAATTTCATCGAACTGAGTCCAGATCACTTGACCACTTTGAAGAATGAAGTATACAATGTACCTTTAAGTGTGCTTTTAACATTAAAAAAAGTTTCGTCTTCTTATTTTCTGTTTGAGACGACTGGGTTTGAGCTGTTCAAGCGTCTATTATTTGTCGGCAATTACTTTATTAAATCCTATCAAGTTCCATTATTTTGCCCATTAATTTATTTTCGTCATTCATCTATATACTCACTTAGAAGTTAACAACATCAGCGAAATCGCTTTGAAGCCACTATCTCTACATCCGTACAGTTCTTCGTCAATACAGTGGAGCATCGATATAAATCATCAGTATAGATCATCTCCAGTAAAGGGGAAATTTTGCTGGGGAACAGGCAGGCATCACGCATTCGCACGCCCTCGCGAGTGGTGCAGAAGATTGAAGCGACTAGACAAGGGAGTTGGCCTCCAGTCGGACCGTGCAAGAAATTCCCGGGGCGATGGTCAAAACACCGAGAGGGTTTTGTACCACTCGTCGATTCAGAGAAATATTCTTTCGCTACCTTCAAACTCCATTGTTTGACCCCAGCTTTAGCCGCCTTGCCGGGTTCACTTGCTATCCCACTTTTGCCCACACTCGGCGTTGTTCCCATTCTCCCCTCAATCCCGGAGCTGGCTTGCCCTCGTCGCCCTGCCTCGAGCGCTTCCTTGGAACGGGCGAATAAACAGCTGGCGGTATTCCCAGCCAATCGGCTATTACAGATCTGTCCGCTTTCATACGTTCACTAGCAGCGCAGACCACCGCCGCTACTTGGTCCCAACCCCTCGAGCTGCCTCGCCGCCCGTATAAGTCCCGTTGTCCATGCATGTATTAGGGTAGGGACTACCACATATTGATTAGGTATTCAAAGTCGTTGGCGGCGGGCGACTGACCCGCCATTCTTGGCCACGCGTTCCCCCACCCTCCAAAATGAACTCCCTAGCATAAGGCCCTTCTGTCTCTTGAAGGGCTCTAGCGCGCTAGCCCTCTCGGTGCGTCATAGTCATCATGTTCTTGGAATTCTCACTACTACAGCAAGCACTTTCATCGAGTGCTGTATAAGGGGGCCGCCATATAGAAACACTTCGTTTACCCCCAAGTAAATTTCATAAATTCACACACTAACATTTGCATCCAGGGTCGTAAAGGCGAATTCTCAGACGAGACAAATGGGCGCTTTTTTGTCATGTGCATTCAACGTCGACAGAGTGAGAGGGCCCTAATGTGTACGGTTAAATTGTTAACAGTAAGTGGGGTTATGTGTTTATGAGTATGATAGTGGAACCGGAAATGGGATAATTTCGAAGACCCGATACGACACCGATGTGTCCAAATCTATCTGTGGTAGCGTGCTCTGTTTCTAATTGGAGTGCTGCAAGTCATCTTCGTATAATAGCTAACATCGCAGAAACCGTCTGCGGTATGTTTGAGCCGTTGACTTCTAAGCTTTTCGCTGCCCATATAGGACAGCTTAACTCATTTCGTCGCTTGCTTTCGATAAGGCCCCTTCAATCAGACCCGTGGATCCTTGCTGGATAAGATACTAATGTCCTATTGAGCCAACACAGCCGACAGATAACTTGTAGAAGTCTGGTGTAGATAGACAAAGAATATTTTCAGGTCAGACAGCAATAGATGGCGATAGCAGTGATGATGAGATGCTGTTGACTACACAGATGAATTGCTGCCTACGAAAAAGAGCACGACCAAATTGGTGCACCAAAAGAAGGCATGTTCGAGACATAAAATCTCTTTGGAGCCGCCCTCTCAGCGGGTGCCCGATCAAGCCGTCTGGCAGCCCCACCTCGCCATCCACTCGTAACCCTCCACGGGCGGAAAATAAACACATCGCAACGATTCTTCTATTGAACTCGCCTATTTCATTGTTTTGCGTAGCTGCTTCTCCTGCAAAGATTTGCAAGGACTCGAGATCACCACAACAAAAACGCTTGGTGGAGCTATTTCGTCCTATTTCAGTCTTTTGCAGTTCGGTTTTTTGCTGCTGCTTTGTTGAGATTAAAGGCGCTTAAGAGGATTATGAAGTAGCTGCTAAGAATGTTTTAAGGCCAAGATTCGATCAGCACAGAATGACTGATTTATATATGTATGATAATTGTGATGTATGAAGAATTATGTATGTATGATAAGATCGCGTGCAGCGTTGCCAAAGACAGTGCCAACAAATCGGCCTTAATAGCCCGGATATCAGAACTACGACGGAGATAGATAGTCAGCACGTCACCGGATGTCACCGGTTTTTCTTTGTTTACCTGTCACATTTATTCGCGGGTAAAGACAACAGTAATAACGAATGGCCACCAACGATACCGGCGCCATAGACAACTTGGCTTTTACCTAGATTAATTACTAAACGCACTCTTGTGTGCCTACAAGGACAAACTATAGGGCTGCTGTTCCCATTATGTTTCCTTAGTCCTTGTTATGTTCATGTCCTGTGAGGCCTTTCATATGGTGCAGTGCAACGATTGTAAACACAGACATATAGTTGTATTATGCAAGGAATAAGAAATAACAAAGTGGCCGGCCGCCTCACCGAAAGAACGCTGCGTGCAGCATGCCGCCTTGAAAAGTAACGAGTTCTTTTACCATCCTATCCAATTCGGATCGTCTATTTGTAACAGGATCTAACAACGGCTGCCATAACAGCCAAACAACGTATCACGAACGGCTGGCCCGCTTTAGTTGCGCGGAGGTCCTATGTAAATTCGACTGTTGCGCATACAATGCTGTGTATCACTCGTTACTGTAAAGGCCTTCTTTTGTCCTGTTAAAGACTTTGTGGACAAATCAATACGAGTTGATGCTGCAATTGGACACCCTAACAGTGGTTCCTGTTTCGCTGAAAACTGAAAACCGCAACATATTTTCGATTTGATTCTCTGCGAAGAGATTCGTTGGGCGGTCGTCTGATTGCCGCCCTCCGCCTCTCGAAGGCCACGACGGCCACGATGGGGATAGAAACACGACACTCTGTTTCGCCACATTGTTATTTCTACCACCTTTGTACTTCTGCTGCTCTGTTAGTAAAGTTCGGCCTACTGGATGAAGAGAACTACTATTTGCTTTCATTGTCCATTACGATGTCCGTCGCAGCGGCCGCTTCGGCCTCTACGAGTGGTTGTGTAGCGGTTCCTTTTCGCGTCGTATATTAGCACATTGTCGAAGTGTGTTTAGCCTAAAATATGACAGGCCGACGGATGAGCGTAAGCGTCGAAGATCGGATGAACAACATCGGTGTCGCATCTCCACTGTCAAAACTATCGGCACACAATGCAGCGAAATGAACAGTAACGCCTTGCTGGGTCGGAGGTAGAACAAAACCCAGCGTGAGTTCTAGTGGCAATACAAACGATACAGTAGCGCTAAGCGACGGCTGCTGGCAGAAGAAAAAATGGAGAACGGGAGTGAAAACGAAAAACAACCATTCAGACACACAAACAGGCATCGTCTAGCATACAGGCCTTAGGCCAGGGCGACATCCGTTAACCGTACCAATAGGCTACCAAGAGGATAGGTGGAAAGATTTGGTCCTATGGTAAGTGTTGGATGCGCAAGAAATCAGGCGGGGCAATCATTCAGCAGGTGTGCGTTCGTGATCTGAGCTAAAGCGACTGTGACGACCGGAATTATTCGTAGTTCGAAAACGACACAGCAAACGCGGTCGCTTTCATGGATACTACCGCGTCCGCACTTGGCGAGATCCAGCGCAATACACGAATAGTTCACGAACTACAAATTGCTCATTTGGCTAGTACGACAACGTTTGTTGTTGACGCCGGCATTGTTGTTGCTAGTGCTTTCGCAATGGTGGCGTCACAGAACACGACATTAGTTAGTTAGACATTTAAAGTTGTAGATATGTGACTAGCCTTGTGATTCAGGCCATTTCAATGGTTCTGCACAGCGGGAAGTCTTTTTTTTTGGGACGTCTGATAGACTAAAGAAAAACCATTGGCCTTCATTCGAGGTCGCTGCTGAGTACACTCACAGAGAAAACAAAGCAGCACTGGCATAATGTGTATAGATTAGAAAGAGCTCAGCGTTTGGCAGTACTACTGAACGCTGATATGCATGTTGAAATGCACGATGTCATCATTCACACTGAGAATTCACTTGACAGAATTATACAACTGGAAATTAGCGATGAGGTTTGATGCTTCGGGGTAACACAAACGATACTGTGAAGTAGATTTCATTGTTGCCGGGCCGATTGGTCTGTTGCAAGCGTTTCTGTGCTACCTTCTGTTGGCATCTGCACAACAGCTGAGTCGCGTCATAAGGAGATATTTTGGGTTTTTCTTTCGATCCACTGTTGTGGAAATGCACGAGCGTGCTGACCGAAAATAGCATTTGCTGTTTGTTTGGCACGATGCGCACAAGCTTAAGATGCATGGAATGGCTACAAAATAGATGAACGCCTTCAAGAACTGTTTAAACTGAGAAATAAAAATAAATTGTCGGGCTACTTTAGCTGCTATAGGATGAACATTCGAATTGACGAGACAAATAGGATAGAATTCCCGTGTGTTGCTTCGAACAAAGGCACAGCAAGCGTGTCTCTTATAGTGGAATACGCATTTCCTATTATTCTATTCATTATAAATCGGCTTGCTTACGTCAAATGACAAGGTTTATTCTAGAAATAGGACAAACACTGTGAGGTTGGTTAGGCTTCTGCTGAACCGGCTGCTGTACATACAGAGAAAGCTATCGCGA